CCAATCAGTAAGATGCTGAGCAAGGGATGTTTCTGACATTACTTAGCCTGCTCCAGGCTTTATTCTGCCTTTACTCAGTTGTGCAGCTCAGGCACTTCCTTATCCCAAAAAGCTTTTCTTATGTGCCAGTTCCATCTCGGCAAACCCACACTGCTCCAGTGTGGTTCTCCCATATGTTGAACTGTACCTTCATGCTCATTTGGCACAGCTCCTTTAATCTCTTGTAGAGGCAACATCCACACTTGAGCTAATCACCTTCCTGCTGTGGTAGTGGAGGATTGTTAGCTTTGAGGTATGTGCTATATAATCCCTTCTAGATGTTGCCTTAGGATGAGAGGAACAACCTCCCCAGTTCCCTTGGCTTCACAGACCAGGTCTCCATCATCTACGCTATCCATATCTGCTCGGGCACACCTCTGTCTTGACTTTCTTCCAGAACTGCTCCTTCAAGCAGCTGTTTGCTCATTACCATGTGCTTGGACATCCCACTAGAGACAACACTGAGTAGAAGCATTGCAGCGTGGAACCACTGCTGTAACAACAGGACGTTAATCAAAGGCATTCCCAGCACAGTGAATCCCGACTAGAGCCGAGGGCAGACTCAGGGTTGGATCTCTTTGGCATGCTCTAAGGGAGTGAAAAATGGAGATCAACATTGCAAACAGCACCCTGAGGAGTAGGTTGGGTTTCTTACTGGCGGGGAGTCAACTCTTTCGCAGAATACACCCAAAACGTTGTTACTGTGATTTGTTTAACTGCTGCTCACAAGGAAAACCCATTGCCTCTGGGCTTCTGTGGGATAATAGGAGCTTGGAGTGATTTTCTCCATAGCTAAACAAAACTACAAAGTTAATGCTGGTCACAGCTGTTACCATATGAGGATATATTTCCTCATGGAATATCAGCATAAAGTTTGAACAAGACCAGGAGTACATGAGGTTGCTTTAGGTTTTCGGACAGAGTGAAATTACCTCTATTTAGTGTGTTTTGTTCTGTGATGTCTGATGTGTGGATGAAGCTGCTCTCATACCCACTGCCAGTGTACACAGAAATAACAACTGTGTGGGACTCGGAACAATACCAGTTTAGGCACAGACCCTAAAAGTCTTTTCAGCCAGCCAGCTTTCATTATATTTAAACACCCCTGTTTCCATGCTCTAGGATGTTTCTATTCTTTAGTAGGTAATCTACATCTAAAGCTGCCTGCCACTCTAGGCCAAGCTTATGACACTCAGGGCTGTTCAGCTTGGCAAAAGGCAGAGGTGTCTGAAAGCCGTGTGATCTAAGGAGCCTGGAGAAGTAAGAGCTCCTATTTAATGTTAGAGCAGGTATCATGACTAAAGATTTGGTTACTAATGGCTTGCAGAATGTCCTTCACTTGAATTCCCTCCAAGACCCTGGAAGGTCCCCCCCTGCTCCCAGGGCGCACATGGTCTTTGCTTTCCTATTTCTCCTTTTATCCGGAGGATGAAAATGGAGGATACCCGCTGGAATGGCAGCTTTGGGATGGTGCAAGTAGAAATAACCTGAGCCCACCCTGTAGCCTCTTTCCAGGGACTGTCCTCAGTCCCTGTAGTCACAGTAGTGAAAGGGGTGACCTACTAGGGGAGGTTCTGAATGCACGGTCACACAGTTATTTGTTCTTGTAGGAAGCTTTCCTTTAACTAAACAAGGACATGCTTCAGAGAGTGGGCTTCACTTTTGCTCCAAAGCTTAAAGATGTGCCAAAACACAGAAGGTGTCTGCTTCAAGATTTCTGCAGTGCCTCATGTGGTAGCAGTGACTGGTCTATAACCTGGAGATGTTCCCCAAAGTACAGGTTGAGCCTTTCTCCTTCTCTTCTACTGGCAGCTTACCCCCAAATCCCTTTCTCCCTGCCTCACTTGGAGCCAAGGGATGCATTGCCTGTGTGGACTTCAGGCTTGGCAGGCTGAGATTGAGCACGGAAGGGATTTAATTTTACAGGATGCCTTTTTGCCTTAGATCCTCCAAGACAGGTAAAAAAAATGTGTGTGATATTCATAAGCGTGATTCTTTGTACTGCCTAGAGCCAGACAAGATGAATAACGCAAGAGCAGAGATCGAAACGTTGATACGTTTGTATTCATGAATTTTAATGTCAGAAGGGACAATCCTGGGTTGATCTGTGAATGCAACTTTAAACTTCACCCAGTTATCTCTGTACTAAGCCCATCCACTTGCATTTGCCTAAGTGGTGCCTTCCAAAGCTTCAAGTTTGAATTTGAAGCTACTGAGGGATAGAAGCTTCATTGCTCCCCTTGGTATGAGTGTCAATGATCCATCACCCTTATGTAAAACGTGGGCTTCGTTTCCCATGTGAATTTACTTGGCATGTGGCTCTCAGCTATTAGTTCTGTTGATGACTTTGTTAGATTAATGGGCCCTTTAGCACCAGCAGCTTCTGCTTGAAACAATATTTGTGCACTTCTCTTTTTTTTTTTTCCTTTTTTGTTGCAATAATTACATGCAGACTTTGAGCATCCCCTCACAAAGCATTTCCTCAGGTCCTTGCTAGTGGATGTATTCTGCACCACCTTTTCCTGATATCCTCACATCAACCCAAAGGTGTGTGAAGTCTTCCCATTGCTTACCACTGTAGCACAGAGGTATTCCTGGGGGGTTTTATGTTGGATAATAGCAGTAGCTCTCCTGACTGTCTTCTAGGACATGACACCCCATTGTCAAGCACGTTCTGTGTCCCTTGTGTTATTTTATGTCTGATTCTATTTAAACACAGTCTAATTGGAAACACATTGTGTCTAATACTGACCCCTGTAGACTCCCGACAGAAATACCTCCTTCAATGTCAATGTACATCAGATGGCTTCTTCTAGAGAGCTGCAGTTAGGCTTCTGCTGAGCCATTTTAATGTATGTACTACTGACACTGCGTATCTTCATATCATGGAACCCTGTGAAAGTGAAACCTTACCAAATCTGATAACATGATGTTACAGACATGCAGGCAGCTTTATCAGACAAACTTAGAATCATGCCAACTAATAAAATCAAGTTTGGAAGCACCTGCTTTGTATACAAGTGCTTCGGCTAAGATTAATATTACACCTCTTCCTCAGTGAGTTATGAATTGAAGCCTGTATCTGATTGTTCATTATTTTGCCTAGAATTTATGTCAGTCAAGCTAGCATGTATTTGAGGCTCATCGCTGTATATCTTTCCTGATTATTGGCACAGTGTTTCAGTATTTGGGACCGGCCCCAGTGCTCCAGCACAGATTATAAATGAACATCAGTGGGCCAGGAATTTACTCAGCCAGCTCTTTAAGGATTCTTGGGTAAGGCTGTTTAGGCAAGCAGATTTCAGCCTGTTTATCCATACCAGCTGGTGTTTCCAATTCTCCTTGCTTACTACTGAGCAGAAGGCACTTCATTGCATCCCCCCCCCCACCCCATCCTATGGAGCACATCCCACTGCCTTCACCCATCTACTGACTGCCAAACACTTTGACCTCTTCTGCATCATGGTAGTTGACTTGGTACTGGCCATCAGTAGAGGAAAATGAAGTCAAATGCTGCAAAGAGGTTCATAATACATTGCTTATGCAGATATCATTCCTAACCAGAGAGACACCCAAACATATGTACAGTTCCATGGTTTCTCCCTGAGGTTGGCACTTACCTGACACTTTATTCCGATAAACAGCAGCAATTGAGACGCGTCCATTTGATCTTGTTCAGCCCTACAGCTGCATGCTCAAGCAGCTTCTCTGCTGTTGTGTTCCAGCCCTGTTCTCTCTTATTGTCTGCCAGTGTAGCTGGGTCTATTAACTAAAGCTTCCACAAAGATAAGATTGTGTGATGTGTCAGGTTGAAATGAATGTGTGCATGGAGGTCAATTCTTTCATAAGTGAAAAGGTTAATGCCGGGCTGTAGAGGATGAGGTTTATTTTTGGCCTTTTCTTGTGCCAGTGAGGACACTTAATGTCTTTCTGCGAGGTCAATAGGCGTATACTCAGTGTTCACTGTCAGCTGGGATATTTCTAGATCATAGGAGTTAAACAGCCAATATTTGGACAGGTGACCTCACAGGAAACACCAGTGATTCAGTAGGTGCGGTCCTTCTGAGTCAGGGCTGAGATGTGATGCCAGACGATGCTGTGTTGCTGGAGGACATGGTTTGTATTCAAAATACAAACCAATTTGAGTGTTTGTGGCCATTTAATATCTCATGATATTGCACTGGATGATAATCCAGTTAGGATTAATTTAGTTGGCCTCACTAAATTGCTTCTGCCATCCAGTGTTAGCAGGATGCTCCTTTCCTTTCCTAAAGGTTTCAGAAAGAGCAGGTTGCTCTGGCTAATTGAAGGAACCCAGGAGGATACTTTTAGGGTGGATTTAAGATGCCCAGAGTTGTATCCTGTGGATTTCTTGTATCCATTCAGGAACCATTTGCAGTTAAGTCTACGTATGCTGTCAGTGCAAGAGTATCAGACCAAAGCATTGTAACCTTTTCCTTTTCCGCCATGCAGAGGGCAGATTTCCCTTCAGAGCATTTTAAGACCTGTAAAATGCATCCAACTGTCTGGCCTAAGAGCCAGTGATGATTTAAGTGGGAGATGCTGGTGAGGGGCAGCTCCTGCTCTAAGACAAAGACTTGGTGGATGTGATGGCCCCTTTTGAGTAAATACACAGTAAGTGAATATCTGTCACTAAATTGTCTTTCTGCTTCATGGGTAAGATCAAATCACAAGAGAGAGAATGGCAGAGCAATATAAAAAGTGATCTATAATAACTCTTCAGTCTGTCGTACATAGCAGAGCATCTTATTTGTCTCAGACTCATTTCCTGAAGCAAGAGGCACTTTGAGACAGCGTTCTTCCCCAAGGACCAGCTTTCACTGCCACACGTAAGGGGTGACCAAAATCGTCTCGCTGCCCTGCAGCAGCATCCACAGCTCTCTGCTCCCTCTGAGCATGCAGCTCTCATAAATCCTTTCTCACTGTGTTGTTTCTTGCAGGTAAACTATGACCACTTTACTATTAGTGTTTGTGTGTTTGCAAGTCATCACCGCAGCTGCCTCTGTGGAGCTCTCAGGTATGTGCCTTGGGCTGTGGGAAAGTGGGACTGAACAATGTGCTGTTCCTCTGTTGGGATGACCACTGTGCCATAACCTCTCACTGCTCTTGTACTTGAGAGCCAGAGAAGTAGCTCCAGGAAAAGGGAGATTTATGGGGAAAATAAGGGAATTTCAGCATTCTGCTCTTTAAACCCTATTAGGTGTGATCTGTCAGTGTGGACTGCAGCAGAGCCCTACATTCTCACATCCAGCACTGGTCTAAATCCCCAAAGCAACCATGGCACAAGGTTGCTGTAACTTCCCTTTCTGAAAGTTATTTTCAGCAGACTAAGCCAAAGAGTTTATGTCTGAATATGAAGGTGTACAGGTTTGCAAAGCAAATACAGGCGTTGGAGCTTATGGGAACACTGGATATTTGGGATTATATTTGTTATTGATGTTAGCATTATTTCGTTTGGGAATTGGCAGACAGTAGTGATGGCCTGGAAGTCAAGATACCTGAGCAGTCACCCCTACGTGTTATCCTGGGAAGCTCCCTGAACATCCCATGTTACTTCAACATCCCAGAGGAAGAGGACACCAGTGCTCTACTAACCCCACGGATCAAATGGAGCAAGCTCTCCAATGGAACCGAAGTTGTCTTGCTAGTGGCTACCGGTGGGAAAATCCGGCTCAACACCGAGTACAGGGAGGTGATCTCTTTGCCCAATTACCCGGCCATCCCTACCGATGCCTCTTTGGAAATCAAGGCCCTGAGATCCAACCACACTGGGATTTATCGCTGTGAAGTGATGTATGGGATTGAGGACAGACAAGACACAATAGAGGTCATAGTGAAAGGTGAGATCCTGCCCTTGCTCTTGCCTCTCAAGGAAAAGCAAGGCAGAAAGGGGGGAAGAAATATGCGGGCAGAGGAGGTACTGCTCTCCCATAGGCATAAACCCTTTCAGTCAGGTCATAGATAAGGCAATGGGATGGTGAGTGGAAGCCATGGGTCAGTCATTTATTTTAGCAGGCTAGGACCAGACTAAACAAACCAGTAAAGTGACTCATGGCAGAATTCATGGTAATAAAATGACTCTTCTGGCAGAAGGTTGGTTACAGAGACAACCAGATGACAACCTTGGCAGGAGATGGTGCTGGGCACGCTGGGCTATTGCTCAGAGGGGTGAAGCTGGGCTGTTACGAGACCTTTTATTTCTTCCCAGCGTTTTAGGAGATGGGATGCCCTCAGCTGGAGAATTGGTCTGCTCTAGAAAAACCTTTCCCATCATCTCACAAAGCCCGTCCTAGTAATGGGTGGATAAAATAACAAGTTTCCTACAAGTCTCATCCTGATCAGGGCTTTTGCTTTCAGCGTAGGACAGAGACAGCTCCCACTACAACAGTTAAGTGTCAGGTCTCTGCTGCTCACATGCAGCGAAGCTTGTGTTTGACAGCAGAGGCCGGGAGCTCCCCATTGCCTCCTGGTGAATATTCCACTTGACTTAAAGCCCGCTCATGCCAGACCAGAGCATACCAATAGCCGTCTTCTATAAAAGATGTATTTTGCAGCAGGTCTGGACACTTTCAGTATAGTTACTTCTTGTTACTGTTTCCTGGGTGTTTGTGTACAGTGGTTGGCACCCTGCACCCTTGGTCCTGATAGAACCTTGGGAGGTGGCAGCTTTCACAGTCCCTGCTCTGCCCCACTGGCTGATTCCTGAACCCTGCACTTAGAACGCTTCACAGAGCTGTGTCAGGAAAGCATTAAGACTTGATGGTGATATTAGCAATGTGTTATGGGCAATGGGTTTGCTCCCAGTGTTCACACTACTATTCAGGTACTGGTTTTTAATGCACTATGAATTTGCTACAGCACTATGGGAGAGCAGTCTCTGTCCTAGGTCACCAGTGTGCTCCACAAGGTCCTGTGACAGGAAACCATCAAGTCATCCTTGGCTTGGGATGCTCAAATACAATCAGCATAAATAGTCCGTTGTTTCTAGTTGATACGAGTAGTATCTGTCCAAATCCATAACTTCTCTATAAGGAGGGGGCTGGTTGCTCTCCAGCAGATGTGTGAGTGATGACCATTGTGTTTTCTAGGCGTCGTATTCCACTACAGAGCAATCTCCACAAGGTACACCTTGAACTTTGAGAAAGCAAAGCAGGCCTGTATCCAGAACAGCGCTGTCATTGCCACTCCGGAGCAGCTGCAAGCTGCCTACGAGGATGGGTACGAGCAGTGTGATGCTGGCTGGCTGGCTGATCAGACTGTCAGGTAAGGAACAGTGGAGGGGAAAGCCACAGCAGGATCACAGGGAAAGGCTTCTGTAATGAAGACACCGACTGAAGATGGTTGAGAAACCTGCTAAAGGGCAGCTGTTGTAGTTGGTGTGCAGAAGGAGGTGGTAGATTGCACATCATTTTCTGCCAGGGGGGAATCTGTAGCAGGAAAGCAGAGTGACCACTGTCCTCTTCATCTGGTGATGACAGCTGAGGGGGCAATGGTTTAATCCTGATCCTTCGTCTTCCATGAACAAAATGATGCTATGCCCAAATGCACCCCTCACTGGGAGATACCCCGGCCTGACGTCTTCTGCCAGTGGTCCTGCTGTGCTCAGGACCATCATGGGGAGGGCAGGATAGGAGATCATCCTTCCCCTTCCCCATAACCCAGGAAAAGCCATAACCCACCACACTGTGCAATGCTTCACAGCTTCATCCTATCCTCACTGTGGCTGCCAGGGTTCTGCCCCCCTCACTCCTTACACTCTCTTTCCCCAGGTACCCCATCCACTGGCCCCGGGAGCGCTGCTACGGTGACAAGGATGAATTTCCAGGAGTGAGGACCTATGGCATCCGTGAGCCAGATGAAACCTATGATGTTTACTGCTATGCAGAGCAAATGCAAGGTGATTTGGGGCTTTTATTGTTACTAGATGCAGAAGCAGGACAAAGCTCTGATCGTGCTTGGACTGAACAACAGTAAATATAGAAAGGCAAAGGGTCTAGAGGCAAGACAGGTTAAAGACACCCAGCAAGGCCAGATGTTCTCTACGGTCTCTTTGTTAGACCTTGGACAATTTTAATGTCAAATGACTAATGCATTACAGAGGGTGGAGTCTGTCTAACCTTCACATGAATCCATGGCATCTCTGGTCATCCATTGAGGGTGTGACATTGAGGTGCCCATCACCCACTCTTATGACGGGGATCCATTGGAATACTCAGCACATCAGAACTGAATTTTTCCTTTGTCTTCCTCTTGCCCTGTGGCTCCAGCTGGTTTGGGATGTCTGTATTCAGCCTGTAAGAATCCCTTTCTTTTGGACAGTCACCAACATGGGGTTGCAGTTCAGCCATAACACACAGGGCTTTTCATCTTATCCACACTCTCAGGATTGGGAAGGGGAAACCAGAGGAACTGGGATTCAATTGCACAGCTCAGTCCTGTGTTAACGGGTGCTGTGATTGCAGGTAAAGTCTTTTACGCCACCGCCCCCGAGAAGTTCACCTTCCAAGAAGCTTTTGACAAGTGCCGCAGCCTGGGGGCCCGTTTGGCCACCACCGGGGAGCTGTACCTGGCCTGGAAGGATGGCATGGATGTGTGCAGTGCCGGCTGGCTGGCCGATCGCAGCGTCCGCTACCCCATCTCCAGAGCACGGCCCAACTGCGGAGGGAACCTGGTGGGAGTGCGCACAGTGTACCTGTACATCAACCAGACTGGGTACCCTCACCCCAGCTCTCGCTACGACGCCATCTGCTACAGCGGTGAGTGTGCTGGGGCTGTGGGATGAGCAGTGTGCAGTGCATCAGGAAGCGGGGGCTCCCTGGCCAGAGCTAACTTCTTGCTGCTTTAAGCTGGTTTCAAGCGGGGATGAAAGCAGGTTTGGCAAAGGGCTCGGTGCTCTGTTCGTGTTCGGGTAGGAAGCAGATCCAGAAAGGATGCCTGACCTATACAAGAGGTGGTGTTGACCCACCCCTCTTCTCTCCCGTTGGCTTTCTTCCACGGCTCAGACCTCTTGAGGTTATCCAAGCTGCACCCCCTCCCTCCGGCCACCTTGAATTCCTTGCAGCAGGCACTAGAGGTCAGTGCAGACTTGGATATGGGCAAGGTGTTCCCGGGAAGAGCCGGAATGAGAGCCAGGAAAGTCTGCTCTGGTTTACCAGCTGTGGCGCATGTGGCGGTTCATTGCCTCCACTCACGAACATGCCCTTCGTGCTGAGGTGTAGTAGAAAGCAATAGCAGAAGCAAGGATACCATTTCTTCTACCAGACCATCACGATTTCCCTGCTCCCCTCAGAGCCAGCCAAGACCCAGGTTCTCGGGGGCTAAATTGACCCCATCCTCTCTGACCGCTGCTTTGTGTCCTGGTGCAGGGGATGACGTTGAGACTCTGGTGCCAGGGCAGTTCATTGACGAGACTGGAAGCGAGCTGGGCAGCGCTTTCACTGTGCAGACCGTCACCCGCACCGAGGTGGAGCTGTCACTGCCCCGCAACGCCACCGAGGAGGAGGCCCGCGGCAGCATCGCCACGCTGGAGCCCATGGACATCACCCCCACCGCCACCGAGCTCTATGAGGGCTTCACTGTCCTGCCCGATCTCTTTGCCACCGGTGTCACAGTAGAGACAGCGGCCCCAGAGGAGGAGAACATGACCAGGGAGGATGTCACGGGGGTGTGGGCTGTGCCTGAAGGGGTCACCACCATCACCTTAGGCACTGCCATCACCACCGAAGGAGCAGAGGTGAGCACGGTGGAAGAGGCCCTGGGGGTGACTGCCACACCAGGGCTGGAGCCCTCTTCAGTGTTCACAGTGGAAGATCAGCTCGTGCAAGTGACAGCAGCTCCTGGTGTTGGTCTCCTCCCCGAGCAGCCCATCTCCCCCACGGGTAAGTCACCAGGAATGAGAAGCCTGAAGGTCGGTTTCTCCTTGGGGTAACCATTCAGCTGAAAACAGCCTGAGCTTCTGCTATCACAAGGTCCCTGGATATGCGCAGGCCTGTTTGGGGTCAAGGATAGGCTGAGTACATCCATTGCTGTATGACAAGGAGGGGTGAGGAGGAGGATGTGAGCCACCCCGCCATGGGCTGAAAAGGACCCAGCTGGCTGATGCTTGGAGCTGCAGTGGTCACACTGTGCTCCCATGTGCATCTGCCTCCAAGAAAGGGGAAAGCCAAGGTAGGAAGATCCTAGAGGAGAGCTAAGAAGATTCCCAGAACATGTCAGTGGAGCTAAATGAATGAGACATCTCCATCAAAGTGGGATTGTCAGGCACTGGTTCCTGCACTGCTGTTGGGAAGACACTTTCTGGTCACACATCTTGGTATAGGGGGGTCCCATATCTATTGTCTCACCACAGCATCTCCTCTCCCAGGTGTGGTGTTTCACTACCGTGCTGGCACCAGCAGATACGCCTTCTCCTTCGTCCAAGCCCAACAGGCCTGCCTGGAGAACAACGCCGTTATTGCCACTCCAGAACAGCTCCAGGCTGCCTATGAGGCTGGGTTTGACCAGTGCGATGCCGGCTGGCTGCGGGACCAGACGGTCAGGTACTGATGTGGGGAAGACACCTCCCAAAATGACTCCTTACCCATGAAACTGAGGCTTTTCTCTGGCTTGTCCTGCTGCTATACTCATTGGTGTCTAAAGCTTTGCAGTCAGCTTTTAAGGTTGTCTTCAGGCCATGATATGTAGTGGCCAATAGATGTGTTCTTCTCAACCCGTCCTACCCAATTCCTAACCCGTGTACACATTCTGCAGGGGTGAGCTCCCTGACATGTAGAAGTAAAGTTTGCATTCATCGCCCCAAGCTGTAAGTGGGCTTGTTTCCAAGTCATGCTGGGGTCTCTGAGCACCCCTAACAGTGAAGTGCTTATGTCTTGCTCCCAAGTACACTGAGGTTCTTCAGTCCAGGGTACATAAGGCTGACCTTGGGTTAACTCCTTTTCTTTTGGTAGGTATCCCATTGTGAACCCCCGAAGTAACTGTGTAGGAGACAAAGAGAACTCTCCGGGCGTACGGTCGTATGGCATGCGCCCAGCCTCAGAGACCTATGATGTGTACTGCTACATTGACAGGCTCAAGGGTACGTTCTCCCCATTCCTATGGGCACTGCTGTGGAGCAAAAACGTGCTTCACACCTCCACATCTGCATGTGTATGGATGGGATGCAGGGACTCATGCCTGCTTCCTCTCCCATCCCTCAGGCGAGGTGTTCTTTGCAACCCAGCCAGAGCAGTTCACCTTCCTAGAGGCTCAGCAGCACTGTGAGAGCCAAAACGCCACGCTGGCCTCTGTTGGCCAGCTCCATGTTGCCTGGAAGCAGGGTCTGGACAGATGCTATGCTGGCTGGTTAGCCGACGGCAGCCTTCGCTATCCCATTGTGAACCCCCGTCCTGCCTGCGGTGGGGATGCGCCTGGCGTGAGAACCATCTACCAGCACTACAACCAGACGGGCTTTCCCGACCCACTGTCTCGGCATCACGCCTTCTGCTTCAGAGGTACCTTCCCACCCATTGCAGGGTGTGCAAAGCTGTCTCCTCAGGGAGCAGCATTCCACAAGGGAGGTTGGGAATATTGGGGTGCCAGCTTGGGAAAGCATGAGCATCCTGGACTGTGACTTGTTGGGAGCTCACTCCAGTTCCTTTCTGTTCCAGCCCTGCCACCTGCGGAGGAGGAAGGGGTCACCTCGCTCTTTGAAGAAGATGTGTTGGCAACCCAAGTGATCCCTGGAGTGGAGGGGGTACCCTCTGGGGAGGAGGTGACCGTGGAGACAGAGTTTGCCACTCAACCTGAGAATCAGACAGCCTGGGGGACTGAGGTGTTCCCAACCGATGTGTCGCTGCTCTCAGGTGGGTCAGAGCTTCCCCATCTCCTGTGTCATGCTCGGCTGGTGTTGCAGGGTTGGGACACTCACAGAATAAATGGGCTGTGTCCTTGCTGAAGGGGAATTCCTCTAAATCTAAATGATTATCACCATATTAGCAAAGGCTGAGTCTGTGCATGCAGAAGGAGTTACACATGTATTATTGAACTTCTATCTAGGACTGAATGAATGACCGGCACGTGCAGCATTGCTAGAGCACCTCACAAAATATGTTGTTGTGTATCTGGGATGACAAACTAGAAACAGATCTCGTGTCATGTCTTCTACAGAGGACAGAGCTGCAGCGTGATTACAGCAGCACCAGTCTTTTTCTCTTCCAAATGTTATCTCCAAGGAAGCAGTAGCTTGGTTGTGGCACCTGAGAATTAGTGTGGCTGTTGCCAGCATCCTCAATTTTCATTAACAAATTTGAAGGGACCAAATTATTTCTGCAAGCACATGAGACTTTATGCCTTTACCTCAAAGGTATCAGCATAGAGATAAGGTCAATCAGGAAATTAATAGCCTTTTTAGAATAGTTTAGTAAATAATCTTCCTATCTTCCTCTCTTTGTTTTCTCTTTCTTTTCCAGTGACCCCATCTGCTTTTCCCCCTACTACCATAATACCAGAGGAAACACCTACAGATGCTTCCGTCAGCGAAGTGTCAGGGGAGGTGATTGAGTCTGGAGAGCATCAAGTCAGTGGCGAATCTTCAGCATCTGGCTGGGTATCCGGAGTCCCGGATACAAGTGGAGAACCATCTTCTGGAGGTTTTGGACTTGGTGGAGAACACTCAGGGACTGGAGAAAGTGGATTACCATCAGTAGACCTGCACACCAGTGGCTTTCTACCTGAAGAAAGCGGGCTACCCTCAGGGGACCTGAGTGGTGTGACTTCTGGTGTTGTTGACATCAGTGGCTTATCTTCTGCAGAGGAAGATGTATCAGTGTCTATTTCAAGGATACCAGAGATTAGTGGGATGCCATCTGGAGTGGAAAGCAGTGGGCTGCCTTTTGGATTTAGTGGAGAAACATCTGGCACTGAACTAGTCAGTGGCGTGTCATCTGGAGAAGAAAGTGGACTCGCCTCTGGTTTTCCTACTGTCTCTCTTGTGGATACCACATTGGTGGAAGTTGCAACAACAGCACCAGAGCGGCAAGAGGAGGGAAAAGGATCCATTGGAGTCAGTGGTGAAGGAGACCTCTCAGGGCTCCCATCCGCTGAGTGGGACACGAGTGGCAGAGCCCAAGGGTTACCACTGGGAGAAGAGCTCAGCGGGGAGCCCTCCGGAGGGCCTGAGCTCAGTGGGGAGCCTTCCGGGGTCCCTGAGCTCAGCAGGGAGCCCTCCGGAGGGCCTGAGCTCAGTGGGGAGCCTTCTGGGGTCCCTGAGCTCAGCGGGGAGCCCTCTGGAAGGTCTGAGCTCAGTGGGGAGCCTTCCGGGGTCCCTGAGCTCAGCGGGGAGCCCTCTGGAGGGCTTGAGCTCAGTGGGGAGCCTTCCGGGGTCCCTGAGCTCAGCGGGGAGCCCTCTGGAGGGCTTGAGCTCAGTGGGTTGCCCTCAGGACTGGATGTCAGTGGAGAACCATCTGGAACACATGAGATCAGTGGTCTGGTGGACATGAGTGGCCTTCCTTCTGGTACTGATGGAAGCGGTGAGGCCTCAGGAATTACCTTTGTAGATGCCAATTTGGAAGAAGTGACCACAGCCCCCTCAGTTACTGGAGCAGAAGCAAAAGAGATCTTGGAAATCAGTGGGTTGCCTTCAGGAGGTGAACATGCATCAGGCATGGCATCTGGGAGCTCAGACATCAGTGGGGAGCCTTCCGGGCACGTGGACTTTGGTGGGAGTGTTTCTGGAGTGTTTGAGATGAGTGGGCATCCAAGTGGAGTGATTGACAGCAGTGGAGAAGTCTCTGGAGTCGATGTCAGCAGTGGGCTACTGTCTGGAGAGGGAAGTGGACTCACCTCTGGCTTTCCCACAGTCTCTCTTGTGGATACGACTTTGATAGAAGCTGTAACACAGACATCAGTTGCACAGGAGGTGGGAGAAGGGCCTTCTGGGGTAATAGAAATCAGTGGATTTCCTTCTGGAGACAGAGGACTCTCTGGAGAAGGGTCTGGAGCCATGGAGACCAGTGGGTTTCCTTCAGGGACAGGAGACTTCAGTGGAGAGCTATCCGGGATTCCATACATCACTGGAGACATCCCTGGAGCCACAGATCTAAGTGGCCAATCTTCAGCAGTGACTGACGTTAGTGGGGAGGCCTCGGGGCTTCCAGAAGTCACTTTGGTCACTTCTGATCTAGAAGTTGTGACAAGACCAACGGTATCACAGGAGCTGGGTGGGGAAACAGCCGTCACGTTCCCCTACGGTTTTGGGCCAAGTGGTGAGGCCTCTGCATCTGGTGAACTAAGTGGGGAAACATCTGCATTGCCAGAAAGTGGTGTAGAAACATCAACAGCTTATGAAATCAGTGGTGAAACACCTGCATTTCCTGAAACTGGTATAGAAACATCCACGACTCAAGAAATCAGTGGTGAAACATCTGCATTTCATGAAACTACTGTAGAAACATCCACAGTTCAAGAAACCAGTGGGGAGACATCTGCCTTTCCTGAATTTAGCATAGAAACATCAGCAATCCCAGAAATCAGTGGGGAAACATCTGCATTTCCAGAAGTGTTCATAGGAACATCCACAAGTCAAGAAGCCAGGGGTGAAACATCTGGCTACCCTGAAATCATCATAGAAACATCCACAGCTCAAGAAGTAAGTGGGGAAACCTCTGCGTTTCCTGAAAGCAGCATGGAAACATCCACAATACAAGGAATCAGTGGGGAAGCATCTGCATTTCCTGAGATTCGAATAGAAACATCCACAAGTCAAGACATCAGTGGGGAAACGTCTGCGTTTCCTGAAATCAGGATAGAAACGTTTACAAGTCAAGAAGCCAGGGGTGAGACGTCTGCTTACCCTGAAATCAGCATAGAAACATCCACAGTCCATGAAAATAGTGGGGAAACATCTGCTTTTCCCGAAATCAGCATTCAAACCTCAACAGTCCATGAAATCAGTGGAGAAACGTCTGCCTTTCCTGAAATTACCATAGAAACATCGACAGTCCATGAAATCAGTGGAGAAAGTTCTGCATTTCCTGAAATCAGAATAGAAACATCCACAAATCAAGAAGCCAGGGGTGAAACATCTGCCTACCCTGAAATTAGTATAGAAACATCCACAGTCCATGAGACTAGTGGGGAATCATCTGCCTTTCCTGAAATAAGCATAGAAACATCAACAGTCCACAAAACCAGTGGGGAAACATCTGCATTTCCTGAAATCAGCATAGAGACTTCGACGATCCATGATATTAGTGAGGAAAATTCTGCCTTTCCTGAAATTAGCATAGAAACTTCAGCAGTCCATGAAATCAGTGGAGAAACATCTCCCTTTCCTGAAATTAGAATAGAAACATCCACAAGTCAAGAAGCCCGAGGTGAAACGTCTGCATTTCCCGAGATCAACATAGAAACTTCTACAGTCCATGAAATCAGTGGGGAAACATCTGCATTCCCTGGGATTAGCATAGAAACACCAACGAGTCAAGAAGCCAGGGGTGAAACATCTGCCTATCCTGAAATCATCATAGAAACATCCACAGTTCAAGAAGTAAGTGGGGAAACGTCTGCGTTTCCTGAAGTCAGAATAGAAACATCCACAAACCAAGAAGCCAGGGGTGAAACATCTGCATTTCCTGAGACCAGCATAGAAACATCCACAGTCCATGAAACCAGTGGGGAAACATCTGCATTTCCTGAAATCAGCAGAGAAACATCCACAGTCCATGAAACCGGTGGAGAAGCATCTGCATTGCCTGCTGCTAACATCGATACAGCTGCTAGCACAGACATAGCTGCCACATCTTTGGCCAGTAGTGAGCCCACTGGTGCTCCTGAGAAGGAAATTCCTGACGCAACATCTGGATCTGTGACGCACTCAATTGCAGGGGAAGCCTCTGTCCCAGACACTGTAATTAGTACCAGTGCTCCACATGTGGAACCAACACAGGGACCCAGGAACCTTGAAGAGGCTCAGTTTGAAATAGAGCCCTCTCCTCCCGCAGTGTCAGGACAAGAGATGGAGGCAGCGGTTGTTCTAGACAATCCCCATCTGCTGGCCACTGCTACTGCTGCCCTGCCTCAAGTCCCACAAGAAGCAATAGACACATTAGGACCCACTGCAGAAGGTACTGTGTCTCCTCATATGGAAGGGAATGTGCGAGGGAGGGAGGGGGCATAGCTGTTACTTTCCTTGCTTCTTCTACAGCAGCCAGCATTAACACGGAAGCAGGTTTGAGCAGAGCATTATTGTGGTGGGAAGCCATAAACGTGCGGAGCTTTTCACAGGTTGTGTTCGTTGAATCATAGCATCATCTAGGTTGGAAAACACCTTTAAGATCACCAAGTCCAACCTTTACCCCAGCACTGCCAAGTCCACCACTAAGCTATGTCCCATCTACACACCTTTTAAATACCTCCAGGGATGGTGACTCCACCACTTTCTGGCACCTGCCTAGAACATGATGGAGGCATCCTCTGCTTGTACCCCCTGGGGTACCCAAATCATCACATAAGTGATAGGGATGTAAGTGAGCTCTCCCCTCTTTCCTACTGGAGATGGGGTTTGAGAAAGAGTATTCTGTGAATGGTCATTGAGAGCCGCTGTGACCATGTCCCTGGGTGTAATACATCTGGGAAAGCACTAGGGCATTCACACCCCCTCTGAGTTTGCTCTAATGCATTGCTATACTCCAGAGAAAACAACAGTCTTTTTCCTTTTATGTGGAAACAAGAGCAAAGACAGCTCCACCCACCAGAGAATTCCATCCTGGCTGTGGATGCAGCCAAGAAGTTGGATAAGATGGGCTGCAAGACTCTGTCCTGTTTCGTTTCTCTTCGCATGATGTGTTGACTTGCTGCCTGTATCCCCAAGTGTTTTGTAGCGCTTGATCCAGAGTGGGAGGCTGGCCATCAGCAACTTTGCATTGCCAAGGGGCAAGAGGCAAAGCAAGCCAGCTGGGGATAAAAACCTCTGCTCTCAGCATCATCTGCAATGTTTGCATTGGGCAAACTGCTCCAATCCCTTTGGCACAGGGCATGGCCACCCTCTGGTTTGTCTTAGGCTGCTCTCTGCAGCTAGAATGGGCTGAACGTGTGAGACAATGCTCAAGACATCGATACCTTTTGTCAGCTCCACTGACAAATGCCCTTCCTTCCACCCTGACCCTTATGGTGTTTTAGTGTTGTCTTTGGTAGGATCTCTTGTTGCCAAGTATAAACAGACACAGTATTCAAATCTGAGCAGCCATTTATGGGGAAAACACGCTGTCAGCTTTCTGACAAGCATCCCCCAAGCAGTGTTCACATGCTGTGGAGGCACTGGGATACTGCAGTGAGAAGAAAACAAGATGAGATGCTGTTGTGCCTGCTGGTGGCTGCTTCTTGGTAGAAGAGGAGCCCCACAACATCCCTGGCCATGGCTTGGTTTCACTCTGCTTCAATTAGGAGCCTGTTCTTGTGTTTCCTGTTTGAAAACCATCAGTGCTTGTGTTGTTGTATGAAGGTCTTACATATGCTCAGTTCCCAATGGGTTACACCTTCATGTGGGACAGTTGCTTAAGCATGGTACAAAATGTATGCCTAAAGAGATTTGCTCAGTTCCTTCTAACAAAAGTAATATTAATTCCACTCCCTCCATTTCCTCATGAACTGCTGCTTTTGGGTTAATTTACACCATTTCTGCATGGGTAGCTCTGGACTCAGTAAGTGTCTGTAAATGCAGGGCTTTGTGCAGCTCAGTCTGGTTTCTAACATCATTTCCATCCCCAAAGTGTTCCGAATGAGTCACTGCGTTTCTCTCTGCGTCACTTCTCTCCCTCTGAGAAAACAGGTAATCACAAACCTTTGTTCAGTCCTGCTCATAACACATTTGAGGTCCTGTCTGCCTCTGCTGAGCAGAGGATGCTGCAGGAGCGGGTGAGGGCAAGTCAACGGGGTCATTGCTGGATGCCTGGCACAGCATCTGGAGCTTGGCAAGGTGCTGTAGGATTTACACACCTAAAAGCCTTATTTCCACAACCAATGTGCTCCGCTTTTGGGCCATGCTCACTGCCACATCCAGTCCTGGACGTAAAAACAAGCCAGCAAGAGCAGGGTTGAGGAAAAAGAAGGAAACCAGCCAGTGAGGCTCAGCAAAAGAAAAAAAAAGAAAGAGAAAGAAATATTGGCCCCAAAGTAGGATTTTATTTCACTGCTTTTTCTTTTTATAAATTACCCACAAGGCGATTGCCAGATTCTTGGGAGCATTTGTTAGCCAACATTCTCGTGAAGTATTTGGAAAGAAAACCATGTGTTCGGCAGCTCATGTGTGAAGAAGCTTGAGAAATGTTCTGAAATTGGAACACTCTGTGTGTTTGTAAGTGATGGGGATGATGATGTAGCAGCTGGGGTTTCTTAGCAGGTGACAGGGAGAGGTACGTGACGACTGAAGTTTAACTGTAGGCTCTTTATATAAACTAGAGATGGGCTTGAGTACGCGTGTGAGGATGGTGCTCCCCCTAGGGAAGATATTCTAGGGTAAAACATGTTTTTATTGGCAGGTTTCTTTACTACAGTGTCCCTGTAGGGTTAAATGCAGTCAGGGTCTGAAGGAAACTCATCCAGGTGGCAAGAAATGTATTGGCCATGAACTGGCAACACCATTTCCAGTGAAATAGAGCAAAGTGATGACAAAAGAAGGAAAAAGGGGGGAGAAAAATAATCATAGATTACCTTTTTTGGGTCGTTACCCTTTTTACAGTGCTCTGGGGGATTGTGAACATGGAAAGCCTACAAGGAAAAGAACCACAGGCTGGAGCCTGAAGTGCTATTTCTCATGTTGTGGCTGCCTCTCCACCTGAAGCCTCCCAGTTCTTGCAAAAAGATCAGTTCTAGTATTTGTGTCTTGTGCTGTGCTCAGAGTTTGGAGCATGTAATGGATGCCCATTAAGAGCAATTAATTTTAACTAACATTGTAGCACTCATTCAGCTTAGCAAGGAGCAGGAAGACGTGAGGCTGTTGTCCTCTTGTCCTATTACTGAAGGGTTCCAGTTAGATCTAGCAGTCTTTTTAATGGGATGATTTAAGAAGAATGGTGTTTTTTTTGCTCTGCTGTAGCCTCTACTTTTCTCTAAAAGCCAGAAGCACAAGAAGACTGAAGATTAACACTTGGAGTGCCAGTATTTTTTTAGTATTTAACCAAGTTGAAGGCTATGCATGCACATGTCTTTAGTCAGCACTTTGGTTCCTCCATGAGGACAGGAGCCCCACAGGCTTCAAGAATAGTCCATAGGCTCGGCTTCTTCATCTAGAGTTTTGTCAATTCAGCAGCTCTTTTTGCTGCTTGTAACATTGGAAGACAAATAATTATTAGTTGAAAAAAGCATGCTGGCGCTGCAGTGGAAGGCTGTGGTTTGGAGCTCTCTGACCAGTCAATGGCTTAAAAACTTCACTCAAGTTAGGGGGAGAAGAGAAATGTGCTGAAATGGCAGCTACTTATGTTAGGTTTTGCTTGCCTCTGGTGAAATGAGTTCATGAGGTCTGCTGCCTATGACCCTGATACAGCTAAAGGTTAGAATCCAAACGAGGAAAGGTCTTGATGGGCTTTCCTCATTCTTCATACCCTGAAAGGCTGAAGGATCGAGTTTTGTTGGTCCAGAGAAGATCAACCCAGAAGGGAAGTTTTGAAAGCATTCACCTGATTCGTAATGTCTCACCTACTATGATATGAGACATTATTGAATAGAATGAAGACTATGCTCCTAAGAAGGACATGGAGATAACAGTCCTGTTTGAGAGACAAGCAAAGCGCACACCACTTGTGGCTAACCAGATGCTTTGATGGCACCTGGATGCACTATTTTGCATTAGAGGTTTATTAGCTTAATTAAACCTTCTCTCTGAAAGGTGTAACTACAGTCCTGGACTGTGTTATGTACATTTCAGTTTACTTCCACACATAATGTTTGAAGGCAGAGATGTCCAAATTTCCTGAGCTCTCCTTCTATGACAGTGTTGGATAAATTGAAGGTCCCAGCAGATCAACAGGTTCCCCTAGAAACCTGTTATTCTCCAGGTGAATATAGCTTTAGAAGGCTGTAGCACTACCTGCCCCTTCTGCTGCATGAAGGTTTTAGTTTAATTATTGCAGTTAATTATTTTAATGACTTAATTACTCATCATAAGTCACAAGCTGGCTGTGATATTCAATGCTCTCCTTTTACATAAAATGAGAGAGAACTGTTTCCCCCAACTCCTCTTATTCTTTTCTTGTTAGAGTCACCCTACAATTGCTCCAATGTTTTTCCTCACTGTCTGAGCCATCAGATCATCAATTCAAACTTCCCAGGAGCCTGCGAAAAGCAAATTTAGTTTGCACCTGGCTTTTTTTTCTTCCCAAAGATAATTATCTGTCTGGTTCCCGATTCCCTGTTTGGATAATTGCACTTACAAGGAGGCCTATAAAAAAGGGTGATGGGCACAATAGGGACTGTTTGACATCCTAAAAATGCCTTGCCTTTCTGTCTTACCTTTTTCTCTCTGCAGAGCAAAACTGAGTTTAAATCCTAGGGTATATTTCTAAACCAGTTACAGAGATACTATGCCGTTTGTTCAGGGCTTGGGCGATAGCATCCTCTCTGTTCACAAGCTGCTTCTCCTTCGTAGATATTTTAAGTGCAAAGCTGACCTAGTTTAATGGGTGTTCTTGCTCTCTTCCATGCAGGCTGCCATCAAGACAAATGCACAGACTGTATTGTTTTAATAAGTGCTAACACTGTTCCTAGTATTGTCTTCTTAGCTTGGGATAAAGGATTTTCAAAGCATTTCCTTCTCACCACTGACACTGCGTGTTCACTTTCGCTGCCATTTGCCCTCTGAGCAAAGCCAGGGCCAATCCATTTCTCTTGCATTTCTAAAGGATTTCTCTTTCCAATTTCCATGATCCAGTACAGCAGATTGTTTTCAAAGGCATTGGGAGAATACTTGTGTTAAGCTGCACAAAAAGGAAACAGTTTCTGACTAAATATAGTGTTGATCTGGCAATGTGAAAGAAATCTTAGATAGAAAATGGTGAAACGAGTTCAACGTTTGCATTGTAGCTGTGTAACTCTCCTTGCTTTCTCCAGTCAGCACTTTACATCTTCCAGGTGCAAGACCCGGGTTACAGTGGATATTTTAATATTTTATTAAAAAAAGATAAAATATCCAAAAGAAAATACCAAAATATCTTGGGCTCTTGTTAGCAGCAAAAAATAGCAACAGTTGTGACAATAGATTTGAATGATCTTTCGCAACTTCTGGGCGATAGTAACTGTGGTACGAATTGTCTTCTAGAGAGCTGCTAATTTTTCATTATCCTCAAGAAGTGAGTTAATAATATGTTTGAAATGGGCTTCTTATTCTTGCCACTGTAAGGCATTTTCTCCCCTGTCTCTGTTTTAGAGCTGCAGCTCTTGAAAGTGAAGGCTGCCTCTGTTCTACATTCCATGCCGCATCGCTTGTTCTTTGTTAGCACTGGGTAATAATAGCAGTTGTCTTGTCTGTTGATAAGCACTTGAGGGGCATCTCAAAGCAGAGCTGACTTTGAATGACTGCTCACCCAAGCAAATAAATAGCTCCCTTCTGCATAAGATCTTTGTGTGTCAAGGTACCTGGCAGCTGGTGCTGTGGAAGTAGGAGCCTGCTCAATGCTGCGCAAAACACACTTAGTGTGCCACAGGTTTGTTAGCTGGCTGAAGAGATGTACAGTGGCTTACTAACCTCATCTGGCCCTGAACAATGTGGAAGTAGACGTGTTTATGGTATGTAAATGGTTAAGAAGAAAATAGCCATGCATTGCATGATAGATGGGATTTATTTTGTTTTACTGGAGTTCTCACCTCCCATAAATCCTATGGCTTAGATGCAGTACCCTATAAACACCTAGAAACCAGCTTGCCAGGTTTTCCAGAGACAACAGAACTGTTGATTTTACTGTTTAGAACTTACTCCTCTAAAAGACCTCCGAGACCCAGATTTTCTGGGAGGATCAGAACCAGCAATGCTTCCTCCAACCTGGCTGATACACTTGAGTTTCCTGATATCAGCTTGCTGAGGTGATCCTCCTGATGGAGGTTGGGTCCCTGCCCTAACAGCCCAACAGGCAGAAGAGGGGAGTTTGGTATTTCTGATCTTCCTGTGTTTAAAACGTCTTCTCTCCAGCCATTTGCAGCACACTTCTGGAAAGAAAATCTGTCTGTGTCTCACTTGTATTTGTTGTCTGGTTTTTCCAACACTACCTACAAGTACACACCCGTTATGTGCCATATACAAAAATATATATGCGTATATAGAGAGAGATATATAACATATATATTACATGTAGAGATTTTTTGCAGTATATATAATATGTGCAATCATATTATATACAATATCTGTAAAGGGAAATTCTGCTCCAGTGTTATTTTCCAGCTGGCAATCTGGGGCAATGACTTTCACGTGTGTGCCTGCTCCCCCTTGCCTCTGAGACCAGGGATGGCAACTCACAGCGGGTCTCCTGCATCTCAGAAGAGATCCTGACACAAAGATTTAGTCCACAGGGTTGAAGACAGCCGAAGACTCATTATTCCCTGCTAAATGTTCTGCTTTAGCTCTCATACGTGCCTTGTTCCCACTTATACAGCATGCATTCCACTTCATGGAGCCTAGCAGACAAAGAGAGCCTTTCCTTACTTATTCAGCTGGAGAACATTGGAATCAACATGAACTTCTGCTGCCACTGCTGTTGGAAAGCCCAAGAGGCCTCTGGAGTTGTAATCATCCCTCAGGATACCTCATTTTCCTTTATGCTCTCTATCATACAGGAGCTCCAAGTGTGACTCACAAGCAATAGTCACATTTAGCTCCTCTATTCTACTAAGCCTGTGACCTCCATTTTGTTCTGGAAAGTCTCAAAGTATTTATTAGTGTCATAGAAACAGGAGATCTCTTCATATTGCAGTGAACAAAGAAGTCCAGAACGCATTCATGAGTATTTAGAAGGGCAATCCAGAGGAAAAACTGCAAAACTGGAGTAAGATGTTCATCAGCTACCTGAGGAAAACCTGCATTGCTCTCAGTGATACAGCCTAGAACAAAGATGCCAATCTTCTTGCTCCAAAGCACAAAAGGATTTTCTCTATCACTTAAGCATGTTACAGAATATGTCAGCTTTTTGTTGTCATATCAGACATTGGCCACAAAGGGACTAGACATTTACATGGGGTATAACACACATCTGCTCTTGTATGTCTGAGGACACAGAGCAGCTGGGCCATAGTTCTGCAAGGAGACAACATCCAGTCAAATATACCCCAATCAGAACATGAACCCAGACCCTGGGGAGTTGCTGTTCTGCTCTAGCATTTCCATAGTCTGCGTGTTTAGTGTCTTGGAGTGTTTCCTCACTAACCCCTCTCATCCACAAGAAGAGCATGGAGTGTTAACTGGGACTCATAAAGCCTTTACATTTCTTCTGAGTGTGAAAGAGAGAAATGTCTCGCATGAAGATCTAACCAGTCATCCTTTAACCTACCCTGGGTGGATGTGCCCCCACTTTCTTCCTCAGTCTTCCTCCTTGTTTCTGAGCTGAACATCTCTGAAATGTTTCCATTCTGAATGATTCTTCTTCTGATTCCAAAGCTCAGTAAGTAGGATTGAGGTTCAGCTTGGAGACACAGTGGGAGAAGAGCTTTTACTTCCAGCACAAGCTAGGTTTTTACAATATATAGATACCAACTGGCTACCTGTGGCCTTCTTCAGAGCATCTATGCTCAGAAGGACCTGCCAGGGAATGGAAGTGCTACCAGATGGTGTAATTTACTACCCAGGCTTGTGCTAATTAGCAAGTTGACAAACATCAGAGAGCTGGGGGCCAAGCTCTTCACATACCAACATCTCTTTTCAATCTCCAGAAGAGCAAAAAGGATCTCAAGGGCTGTTCCATCTAGATTGGAAACTAAGGGTAGTTTCCTTCGCCAAGATGGAATCTACAGCTGTAAAAGATGTACCAGCTTCTTCCAGCCCCATCACAAGCATAGTGGGGACAAGTCTGGAGAAAATGGTGCTGAGCTCCAGTACTCTTCAAGGAAGAGACGCCTTAAGCTAGGCTTAAAATCCTCAAAGGGAAAAAGCTGAGGGTGTCTGAACCCACTTCTTTTCTTCTCTGCACTTTCTTCATCTTCACTGAGAAGAGATTTCTTGCCCTGGAACTTCATCTAAATTACAGTTAGGAAGAAACTGATAATGAGCACTGGCAACCAGGAAGGCCTTTAGGAGACAGAGATCTATTTCAGGATGCTTCCATCACTTACAAGAATTCCAAGTTCTTCTTCGTACACCCATAGCTGATGGAGACACAGACAAAAGTTTGCATGTTCGATGCATCAGGCTGACAGCAGACAAGGAGGAGTTACCATAGCTGAGTGCTGTGTATCAGATGCATCTTGCTAAGTCTGTGCTATCTTCAGAGTGGTGTTCAATCATCAAGTGACCGAAAACCAATGTCTTCCTTGTAGGGTGGGCTGGGTCTCTTGCCTTCATTCTTCCAGCAGCAGCAGTGGCAGTGTGTTTTAAAATAAGACCCTTACAACTCCCAGGTTCCCCAAAACCAACTGATATTCCTTCCTAAACAAGCAAGGAAGCAAGTTCTCCTGTTGGTGGAGTTGTCTGCCCTAATGGAAGCCCTTGATTTCTTGCAGACACTGATGAGTGCCACTCAAGCCCCTGTCTGAATGGAGCTACCTGCGTTGATGGCATCGACTCTTTCAAATGCTTATGCCTTCCCAGCTACGGAGGGGACCTGTGTGAGATCGGTACGGCCTTCCTGGCTTCAGCTAATCTTACTAACTGCCGCACCACCTTCTTCCCCCCAGTAAGGTGACCCCCAGTGCTCCCATCAGCCCTGCCCTCATCTCAGCAAGCTAACCTCTAACAGCAGCTTAAAATACGCTAAGGAAAAGGCTTTCAGACTTGTGTTTATGTATTTTGATTAGTTTATTCATCACAGCACCATGTCCTCCAAGGTTCCTAAGCAGGAGCTTCTGGTGTCTTCTTCAGCTTTCAAGTTTCTCTAGTGAAGTTCCATACAATGTTGATCACAGAAGTTGCTCTCTCTTTGAGCCAAGGGTCTTTCTGTTCATCTGTAACAGTAGGGAACATCCGTATACCTGAGTACGTCTTCACTCCAGGCAAACTTTATCTGATGGATTGGAAATTTCATGGAAGGATGCTTCAACTGAGCCATGGAAAATGATTGCATTTCTTGCTGTGAAGATGCAGCTGAGAGATGCCTCATTCACTCCAGGAATCTCCACGAATTTGACATTTTTGTCATCTCTTCAGCATGGCTTCCTGTGGCAAAATCAAAGGGGAATGTGTATCGTTGAGAAAACACCAAGTGACCTCTTTTCCTATCAAAACTAGACCTACACTAATACTTCTGTTTGTTTCTATAGAGAAAGAAAAAGATTTGTGGGGTTTTTCTTAAAGCTGGTGAAAGTCCAAACTTGCATCAGCTTAGCTGAGGGGAAGCTCTCCTGTCTTGCTCAAACGTGAGAAATAAGGTAGCAGTGTCTTCTTCACCTTGGCACAAGTAATGATAATATATATTGGATTTCCTCCTCCCCTTTCTCTTCATCTCTCTTTCTGCTTCCAATATGAACATATGGAGTAAACCATAAGAAGGCGGCTCAGGATGACTGGACCATCTGGGCAGGAATTGTGCTGTCTTAACATCAATTTCCTAATGCACTCTAACTAGCCCATGATTTACATGTCCCTGCCACCTGTTGTTGAAGATCCCTGTAACCCAACAAGAGACTTTCCACCCTGCAGCTGCTTATAATCTCTTTTGGTCCAAGTCAGAATGAATTTCATCTTTTCTCTGATTTACGGGCTCATGATGCCTGTGGGCTCCAGCCTGGGAGGTGCAAGAGGAAGCCAGTATCCTGAATTCAGTGGGGAATGTAAATCTTCATTGTTCCTATGAGGCAAATCATCCCTTCTGTTGATCTCCAAGAACAGTAGGACATCATAGTTGAGCTCTGTTATCTGTACATGCAGCAGTCCTCATCACCATGGCAGTGTCCCTACCAGGGAACAAGTTTGTCGTCATCCTTTTCCAGGATGATTGCCCTCATATTTCCTCATAAGTAACATCTCTGTAGGAAAGAGTGGCCTCTCTCCTAGGAAATGTCCCACGGAGTTTCTGTGCCGTGTGCTGTTCTATCCCCAGGCTGTGATGACAAGGGGTGTGGTGTTCAAGCTGCTGGAAAAGGCTTAAATCTCAAAAGACAGAGCATGTTCTCTGCTCACCTTGTGTAAGCAATCTGCCTGCAAGGAACAAGAATCCTTAGAGATTCAGCTAGTTCCAGTTAATCCATTTCATCTGTTGAAGAAGGCAGGAAATGTTTTTAATGCCTCAACTAACTACAAACCCTTCCAACATCTAAGAAGCCTCTGCAGTCTCCAGCTGGAAGAACACCAGGAGGGTGGGTTAGTGTGATAGAAGGTGACAAGCTCTTTGACCTAACAAGTTTAACAAAGAAGAAAGAAACTGAGTACAGAAAACCTTACTGGAAAGGCAAAGAGGTGTGAGGACTCATTAAATCATTCCAAGAATGACAAGTGCCTGAAGGATGGTAAACTGGGCATCTGAAAGGCTGAGGTTAAATAGATTTCATTTCCTTCAGCCATATGGAGTATGTGTAGTGTTTTACACTGACTGGGAGCCTTTTCTGGTGGTTTCTCCCTTTGCCTTTGCTCTCCCCAACTTGTTTTCCCTTAGTTTCCCTAATTAATGGATTCAACTCTTTAGTGTTTCTTTAGATGGTAAGAGGTGTCCTGAACTTTCTACACTTTAGCAGCTTCCAGGCTTTTTCCTTGAGATTTCATTTTCCATCATGGTAAGTTCCTGAATCCTCTTTTGCTCCTCTCTTGGTAGGCTTGCTTCTCCTCCAGAGCCACAGAACAACACTAAGCAATGCAACCACCCAAACCTGGGCTCTCCTCCCCTCTTTCATTTTCAATACATACATATTGATTCTGGGCATCTGGATTCAGGTTTTGGAGTCTTTCCAAAACAAGAAAACTCTGTACAAGTGGAAGAGAAAGATTCCTGCTTTGTTAGAGTCCAGGAACATGATACAGGGATTGAATTGAACAGGAATACGTTTGTATCATTCAATTTTTCTAGTAGCACTGGTCACATTACTGCACACATTGGGTCTTCAGCACAGGCTTCCCTCTCCGTGTCTGCTTTGGATGCCTTCTGGTAACTTTCCCTGGGATTTCCCACAGGCAACAGTGTCAGGGTTTGTTTTTTAGTGGAAGCAACCGTGTGATTTCCCATGCCATGAGAGCACGAGCTGCTAAGAGGTGAGTTGGAAGGCTTCCAGACCATGCACCAACTCCTTTTCATCCCTCCTTTGTGTGTTTCAGACCAGGAAAACTGTGAGGAAGGCTGGACCAAGTTCCAAGGCCACTGCTATAGACACTTTGAAGACAGGGAGACTTGGATGGATGCAGAGGCCAGATGCCGACAACATCAAGCCCACCTGAGCAGCATCATCACCCCAGAGGAGCAAGAGTTTGTGAACAGTGAGTGCTGAGGGCAGCTTGAGACTGGGCATGGGTCCATCCATTGAACTCTGTGGAGTCTATGGACAGATTTAGCCAAAATGACATAAACCTCACGATTTCCCCCACTGGTGCTCAGATATTTCCTCACCCTTAAGTGGAAGAGGAAGAGCCATCCAGCTCATTGCAGGCGGTTGGAATAGATGACCTTTGAAGGTCCCTTCCAACCCAAACTATGAGTCTATGAGCTGTGAGACAGGAAAAAGCCCTTTCTCAGCTAGGACAGAACTTCACTTTCACCACATTGCTGATGTGGCTTGTTCACAACACATTCACTTGATGCAACAAGCGCACTGACCTATGCCAGCGCAGGTGGATCCGTGCTCATGGCACACTGAAAGAGGAGGGAGATGGACAAGCATGATACTGGGGCGGGGGGGAAGGGCATCAGAGGGAGATGAGATGACAAAGAAACACTTCCAATGAGGTACAGGAAAACCACGACCCACTCTTCTTTCTCCCTTTATCTCTTCTAGGCCATGCACAGGACTACCAGTGGATTGGCCTCAGTGACAGAGCTGTGGAGAATGATTTCCGCTGGTCTGATGGGCACTCCCTGGTAAGCCTGCATCCCACGGGACATTCAGTGGTGGGAAGAGGTTCCCCTTGGGTGGAAAAAGTCCCATGAGTTACGTGCTGAGTGCTTGGGTTGGGCATTGAACGGAGGCAGCTCCATACTTTGTAGAGCTCATGGTCACCATCGCAATAGATATAACCTCTGTAGTAGCAACTGGTGAGGCAGCAACAAGGATGGAGGAGCAAACAGGAGATGAGGGCTCAACCTTTCCTCTCTCTGCAGCAATTTGAGAACTGGAGGCCCAACCAACCCGATAACTTCTTTGCGGCGGGTGAGGACTGCGTGGTGATGATCTGGCACGAGCAAGGCGAATGGAACGATGTTCCCTGCAACTATCACCTCCCTTTCACCTGCAAGAAAGGAACAGGTCAGCACCCCATGTCATGCTAGCAAGCATAGGGAGCTCGGGCAGTGGTTGCGGGGCTGGAGTGGAGCTCCCTGTGCACATGAACATGGGTTTTGTCACTGTAAAGGGTGGCCTAAAATGTGGAAGGAATTAATAGAAGTTGGATTTTCCCAAGGGCTTGAAAACAAGTAAGATGAGCCATTAAGGTTGAGGTTTCGCATCCCCAGACACCAAAACCCTGGCTGCAGCATCACTCCTGCACACCAGCTCCATGCCCTCCCATGGAAGCAAGTGGCTGTTGTGATGCCTGGCTTTCCTGAATGGAACGCTGAGGCAGAAAGCTGCTTAATCCCAAGCCCCATCACAAAATGTCCATATCCCCTATCCCTAAATTTTGTGGATCGAGGCAATCTCAGGGGGATTTAAGGTTTTATGTGTGGGAGAAGAGGAGCACCAAGGCTGTGCGTGCTGGGTGTGAGCTGCCCGCTCAGCCAGGCAGGACTCTTCCAGCTCTCCATGTCTCTGCCCATCTCCTGCAGTGGCCTGTGGGGACCCCCCTACGGTGGAGAACGCCAGGACCTTCGGTCGGAAGAAGGACCGCTATGAAATCAACTCCATGGTGCGATACCAGTGCAACCAAGGCTACATCCAGCGCCACGTGCCCACGATCCGGTGCCAGCCCAACGGGCAGTGGGAGGACCCGCGGATATCCTGCATAAACCGTATGTAAAGGCTCCTTTACCTTCAGGTTAGGGCTGATCCAACCCTGAAGGGGGCATCATCTTAGGGTGCAGGTTAGCTCTGGGCAGAAGGGGACATCGTGGTCCCCATGACTTGTTGAAAGCTCCCCTATGATGGGCAATGGGAGCTGGCATCTTCAGAGCAGGGGCGAGCCACAGGAGGGACAGCCTGGGGAATTCATGGATGCTCCTCCACTAGGCAGGGCAGAGGCAGCTCCAGAGCCAGGAAAGGGCAACAAGGAGCTCACCAAGGGCCCAGACTGCTGAAAGGAAGGAAAGTAATAGAAATGGCTTCTGAAAGGGTGAGTTTTGGCACCACCTGCATTAGCTGAGAGAATTAGGAGGAGGGACCTGTAGTCTCCTATGGTCCCTCCAAGCCCTGGGAGTAGACAGGAGCCCTGCAGCAGGGCTAAGCCAAGGGACAGGGCTGGGTTCTTGACCCTTCTCCTGTCAGGGCTCCAGCTGACAGCAGCCAGCCCTCTCCCACTGGTGTCCCAGCCCATTCCCAGGCCTGCCTACACCCCTGTCCCATCCTTTCTCCTATGCAGCTTCCCAGTAATCTCATCGGCCTCAGCCAAATCACATCTGTCCAGTGGCCTCCTCGCCAGGTTCTGGTCTGGCTAGGCAATTCCAGCTAAAGCAATGCTCCCATAGCCAGGGAAAGTCAGTATGGGCTTAAGGGACAAACCTCCGCCCTAGGGAGGAGGTGCAAGGAGGAGGGATGGAGATGTCTGAGGGCAGCCCATAGTGCAGATGAAGCAGCTGATTCCCTTGGCTCTGCTGCAGACCCAGAGAGCTGCAGGCTGCTCCTGGCATGGATCACCAGCGACCAAGACAGCCAGGCAGTTCCAAACCAGCTTTTGCTGCTTCCATCAATCCTGAAATGATCACACTGGAGTAGTGCCAGATTTAAGGAAAATTGGCAGCAGAAATCAGGCAGAAACTTTGTTCCTGCCCACCAGACAGGGCTGTTTCCCCTCCTGTGCCCTGAGTACATCCCACTGCTGATGGACACTTCCTTCCCTGTCCTACAGGACTGGGGAGGGACCGGTATTGCAGCAGGTGAGATGGGGAAGCAGTCCTCATGCTCACTCTATTAGCAGAGCTAAGGGATGGGACAAGCACCCACAGAGAGGATGCTGCTACCCAGTGCTGTCCAGGGCCAGCGTGGGTCGAGCTGCGTCTCTGTCCCACCTCCTGCTTACAAAGGTGCCTTTTCTTCTCCTTCCTCTTCCTCAGCCTCCAACTACCAGCGCAGGCTATACAAAAGGAGCCCTAGGAGCCAGTCGAGACCCAGCGGCAGAGCCGTGCACAGACCCACCCATTAGAGCGGGGCCAGAGAGAGACACCGAAAGTGAGAAACAGAGATTTTTAACGGAACACTTCTATTAACAGAGTCGATTTCTCTTCTTCTTCTTCTTGTTGCTTTTTTTGTTGTTGTTGTCATATAAGGAAAAACAAAAATTATATTAAAGACAAACCCACCTTTGTGTATATATATAAAAAAACAATAATTAATGTGTTTTTTCCAAGCACCAAAGCAAAGCGAATTAGATCTCAGCATTTCTACTAACTGTCCGGTTCCAATTATCTTCGTGCCTTCGGGGACAGGGAGGGGGGTGGGTTTGCAGAGGGCAGGGGGTTAAGTTAAATAATAAAGATGAATATTTTGTCCTGATTTTATCCACGAACAATGTAATTATTTCTGTTATTTAATCTCCAGGGTGAGCAGCACCTTTCTGGGGTTTTATTTTATTATTATTATTGTTTCTTTTCCAGAATCCTCCTACTGCTGCAGCACATCAGGGCTGGGGGGGGAGGGCCCGGGGGGCTGTGGTGGAAGGAGCTATAGGAGGAGGGGAGGCGAGGGGATGCTGAGACCTGGGGGCTGCAGCCCCTCTCTGCTTCCCTGCCACCCCCCCCTGTCCTGGGACAACGTGCTCTTTCCAGGGGACCGTGCGGGGCACCAGCGTTCCCTGCACCTATTTATATTTTTGAACATATCCTATTTTGAAAGAATGATAAATAATAAAGAGAGTGAAATCGGAGCGGGCGCTCTGTCGGTGTCGTTTTGTAATGTGTGGGGCAGGGGTCTCCCATGGCAAAGCAGCAAGGAAGGAAAGAGAGTCCAGACTGGGTGCTCCAAATGGGACCAGCTCAGCACCCAAGGGTTCAGCCCTGGGGACAACGGAGGTAAAGGGGAAGAGTCCTAAGCCCCAACTGAAGAAGGACCCTGGGGTAGGACATCACCCACTTATTCAGGTCTCATCCTAGGAGCGGTTCACCCACAGACCTGAAACCCATCACCAGCAGGAACTGCTTCACCCTCCAGCTTTCAGTCCTGATGCCCATGGGGTAAATTAACACCCATTAACGAGGGAGCACAAGGCCCTTGCAGAGCTCAGGTGGGCGCAGGGCTGAGCACGCGGTGGTGAGATGATGCTCAGCCGGGAATCTCCGCATCCTCTCCATGGCAGACCCCTCTCTTGTGCTGGGGCAGAGATGGGGACACAGCCACGTAGCTCCAGGGATTTCTCCATGGGTTTATTAGAAGAGGTCCAGGAAAATACACATTTTCATAACCAAATGTTTTGAAGGAGAAGGCACCAGAGTTCAGGTGGAGTCCAGGTGAGGGGTGCGTGGAGATAAGGCACTGGCACTCCCATAGGAACAGGCACAGTGGCATCCTTCAGTAGGACAGGGACAGGGCTGGTATGCAACAGAGACACCCACTCTGCCTCTGGCCCATTCCAGCCTCTCCTCCCTCCCACTCCATGAGTTCTGGGGCAGGACCAGCCTGGAAGGGCAGGCGGGTGCTGGTGACATCCTGCCACGCAGGAAGGGGCCACCACCCATAGGGTGGCAGGGGCCCATGGGGACCATCAGGGACAGTCCTGTGCTGCCCCAACTGCTGAGCAAGACGTGGAAGATATAAAGGAAGTAAAAATAAACCAAAAAGAAGCCTCCCCTCCCACCCCCATCCCGCTCCCCCTCAGTCACCCCAAAAACAGCCTTGGGCAATGCCCAACACCGGGCACCATCAGGCTGGAAGCATCCTCTGGACAAGAAGGAGCCCTCCCTGCTCCTTATCTCTCTTTGTAGCAGAAGACCCCAAACCTGCCCTTGCTGGGGAAGCCGAAGCTGCGGACGCCAGGCTCCGGAGGGCCGCAGTTGGCGCGGGGCTTGGCGATGGGGTAGCGGACGCTGCCATCTGCCAGCCAGCCGGCATCGCAGCGGTCCAGCCCCAGGAACTTCCAGGCAGAGTAGAGCTGTCCCACCCGGGCAATCTCGGCCCCTGCATCCTGGCAGCTCTGCTTGGCTTCCTCCAGCGTCATCCCAGCCACGTGGTCCAGGTAGAAAACTTCTCCTAGGAGGGAGAAGGGAGCATCAGTGCTGAGCATCATCCGGAGCATCCCCGCACAGAGCATCCCCACTCAGGCTGAGCCCTAAGGGGACAAGATCTTTGGCCCAGCACCTACCTCTGAGCGCAGAGGAGAAGCAGAAGGCATCAAAGCGGTGCAGGTACCGGTGGCGTGGGCCATAGCTGCGGATGCCTGGGGCGAGCTGCAGCCCGCCGCAGGGCTTGCGGGGCAGGCGGATGGGGTACTGCACGGTGCCATCGGCCAGCCAGCCTGCATTGCACCAGTCCAGCCCCTCACTCCAGGCCTGGAAGAGCTGGTTGAAGGTGGCGAGGATGGCGCCTTGCTCCTGGCACACCCGCTCGGCTTCGTGGAAGTTGAGCTTGTACTGCCCGTGGGGAGGCTGGTAGGGGAACACGATGCCTGGGGAGGGACAGGGCACTCAGCCGGCTTCCATGGGTAGCCCCCGCGCGTCCCCAGCCCATCCCAAATTCAGGCTCTGGGACAGGGACCACTCCAAGGTTCAGGCATGCAGGGATGGGGATGCTGCGGGGATGCAGGCGCCAGCGGCGAGTTGCCAGCGACATCTGGTGGCACAGGGACACAGGGACCTGGGGACACCTTCATGGGGATTGCACTTGCACATACAGGGATGCACAGGCTATGATAACAGGGATGCAGGGACCACCACCACAGGGTCATAGAGACCACAGTCCTGGGGACATATAGGCAGGGGTCCCAGAGGGGCATGAACCACCCCTGTGGGGACAGGAAGACCATTATCACAGGGATGTGCAAGCTTACAGGAACACAGACACAGGGACCAGCATCATGGGGATGCATGGGCCACAATCCCAGGGACACATGGTTCACCAGCACGGGATGGATGTACGACAGGAACATGTGCACCGCCACGGACCACAGCCACAGGGACTGGTGGAGACAAGGGGATGGGCAGGGGCACAGCAACAGGGACATTTCCACAGCTCTCAGCTTGGCAGTAGAGCCAGCGCTGAGTCAGGTCCCTCGTTCCAAGTGAAGAAAATGGGGTTGGCCCAGTCACCAAGGTGCATCCCAATGCAAGGGACACGCAGAGCTGGGAGGCGAGGGGCAGCTGCACATGATGCATCACAGCAGGGAGATGGGTGGTAAAGGCAGGAAACACTGCAGCCATGGGGTCACCCCCAACTCCAACTCCACAGTAGCATCCCCAGCATCCTGCTCTGGGCTCCAATCACTGTCAGACAGCCCCAAGCCACCACCCCATCACACCGAGCATCCCCAGTTCACCACCCACCAAAGAGGGGTGCCATGGGCAGGCCAAGCTCCCTGCCTTGGCACTGGGGGTCCTGCAGTCCCCACTGTGCCCGCACCTTGCAGCCGGAGGTCCACCACGTCGCTCTCATCCTCCAGCCCATCGATGACCTCGCAGCGGTATTTGCCATCATCCTGCAGGCGCACATCGCTGACCACCAGCGAGGCCTCTCGCCGGCCAGCCTGGCGCAGGTGAGCGCGGCCACGGAAGTCCCCAAAGGCCAGGTAGGTCTTGCCGATGGCCACCAGCACGTCCTGCTCCTTGGTGTAGTCGTCCCGTAGCTTGGACCACTTGATGCGGATCTTGCGCTTGGCCTCCAGGTCGGGCTCATAGCGGTAGTGGCAGGGCAGGGTGACGTTGCCACCATTGAAGCTGTAGACGGGGTCTTTGGGAGTCTCCACTAAGAGTCTGGCTCCATTGAAGTAAACCACTGGGGATAGAGAGGGAAGGCATGATGGGCAGGTCGTGAGCATCCCCAGATCTCCTTCCAGCCACCTCTTCAACCTAAGCATCCCATGAGCATCCTCTGAGCACCCCTGGAGCATCCTTGCCTGCTCCTCTGGGCCCCACATCCCCCCCATGAGGTGGGTCCCAGCCCCATCCAGAGAAAGGGGGACACTTCAGCCCCTTGCACTAACCCACCAGGCCCCCTTTCCTGCCCATCCCTCATGTACCTTTCTCCTGCCCGTTGCCCTTGTCGTTCATGATGTGGTTGTAGTAGAAGCCGTTGTAGAAGGGGTGGTGGGAGCCACTGGCCAGGCGCAGCAGGGCGGCCTCCAGGAGCAGTGGGAGCAGCAGCATGGCTGAGGAGCGAGGTCAGACCCTGAGCCTGGGCTGTGGAGGGGGAAAGGGATGTGAGAACACCTCACAATAACCAGGAGTGCTCCGAGGTGCCTGGCACACAGCTCTGGGCTGACCCCATCGTAGGGATGCAAGGAGAGGGGTGGGAAGAACCAGCAGAACAGCTCCAGGGGAAGGCACAGGCAACCTGAGCCATGCCCCCAGACCTGCCCCACAACTCCCAGTCCCCTCCATCCCCATCCTCATGCATGGATCTCACCATGCACCACCGCACTCAACACTGCCACCCGCTGGGGCTTGAGGAGCGCCTGACCCAGAGGGGAGAACCGAGACCAAGCAAGGATCAATGCATCCGGGAGAAATGAGATCCCGGGATGTCCTTTGAACTGGGAGCACCGGGAAAAGACGTATGGGATGTGGGGGGAGAGAAGTGGCCAAGCCCCGCGGTAAGCTCAGTTTACAGGGGCAGCCGAGCGTGAAACCCAGCGAGGAGGGGAGGAGAGAGCTCGGGGCTGCCCCAGCACTGGACACAGCCGGGGGGCACCCACCCAGCGCGGCTGAGGACCCCCTGCTCCGACCCGGGGCTGCTCCTTCGCACCACAGACACGACCGGCACCACCCCTGTGCAACGCTTCCTTCCCAGAGCACATCCCCTGAGTGCAGGGGAGCCCGGCTGCCCCATAGCACCGGAGCCCCGTGCTGCCCGAGCTCTGAGTGCCCCGCACGGGGCTCACTGAGGGCAGCTCGCAGCGGTATTTGCCGGCTTGCGAGCTCACCCGGAGCCGGCAGAGGGGGCCCGGCACCCGGCAAGGCTCCGGCAGCCCCCTTCCAAAGTGGGGAGGGGTCTGGCACAGCTGCCCCTGCCTTAGGCAAGGTCTATGGGTGCCTGCATAGGTGCTCCGGGCCAGGGCGCTGTAGGAGTGAGGATGCTCCCCCCCAGCAGGGTCCGATATGGGGTACAGAGGTGGTCTCTGGGGACCAGGGCATGAACCGGCTGCTGTTGCCATCATGGGTTGCTCGCTCCTGGTCTCCCCTCCATGGCTGGTGCTACTGCTCACCCTCCTGTGGGGTGCAGCCACCCGGTGGGGTGTGTAGAGCCAGTGCTGCAGGGCACAGGGTGCACCCACACCACAGGCACCGCATCCAGCGGCAGCACTGCATGGCACTGCACGGCACTGCACGGCACTGCAGCCCAGCAGGCATGCACCACGTGCTGCCCACATGCGGCACGGTGGGCTCGAAGCACCCACAGCTTCACACCTCGGTTTGGGGGCAGCAGCACCGGTCCCCCTGTGCCCCCCGTGCCCAGACACCCCCCCCCAGAGCCCAGTGGTGAGGTGACACAGCGGGAAGGCGGTGTCCTCAGCTGCAATGGCACTGAGCATCGTGCTGCAGCACCCACCACAGCGATGCCTGGCACCTTCCATGGTGATGCGCAGCACCCTCCATAGCGATGCTACCCCTTACCTGCCAAGCAGGGTGCCCACCACCCCGGGGTGCCAGCCCTTCCCACCACCTCGGGGCTAAGCCCTACTCACTGCTGGTTGCGGGCAGGCTGCGGGCAGGCGTGCAGGCAGGCTGCAGGCAGATGCACTGTTTAGGGCTCTCGCAGGGCTGAGAGGAAGCAGCTCCAGGGCCTGCCTCTTAAAGGGAAACACACGCCTTTCCCAACCCCCTGATCGCAGCTCGGAGCTGGGATGGGTACCCCCGGCCCCCGCCATGCGCCTGCATGATGCTGCCTGTACCCTGCCCGCACACCTCTTCCGTGATGTACCTGATGCCCGCATTGCCTGCTTGGGGAGAGGAGCAAGGGTGCCCCGTTAGGGCTAGTGGGCATGTGGCACCCCATAATGTCCGGTGCAAAGACCTGGTGCTGGGGAAGAAGAGACATCTCTTGTCCAGTGTCCCATCAGGGGACTCATCACAGTCCCCAGGTGTGGAGCACACAAGTGTCAAGAGCACCATGGGCACAAGTGGCTTGGGATGGATTGCTGTGCCTGGGGATGTGCAGTGTCTGCCTGATCTAGGGTCAGGAGAGACAGCTGAGCCATGGGGTTCAGCCTCTTTGGGATGCACTTGTGTCTATGGGGGGCAAAGCAGGGGAAAAGCTTTGCGGTGTTTGATTGAACCCATCTGAGCGAGCATCATCCCTACCCTTGGGTGATGCCCCCCCCAGCTCCCACCAGCACACGGCCGTGCAGCCCTGCCCTGAGGACGGGCAGCGCAGTGATGGCACGGACACAGGGATGCTGGTCCAGGGGTGGCCAGTGGGGCCGAGGACACAGAGCAGCCACGGAGCAGCGTGTGCCCTGACCCAGCGCCCCCCTGCCCGGGCCCGGCGCGCCTCTTCGCCCCCCACTTTGTTGTTTTATGGCAAGGAAATGATGCGCGGGGGCCCCGGCCCGGCTCTTGCCACCGCCTCGGGCCGGAAAGCAAACAACGGGTGTAAAAATAAACCACCCCGGGCTGGCTGCGGGGTGAAGGGGCCGGGACCCCCCTTCCTCACTGCCCCCCGCCACGGGTGCAGTCCTGTCTGCCCGCCGCCGCCGCGCTGATAGGGAGCAGCCAGCACGGAAACGGTGTTATCTGCCTCCAGCGCCGGACCCTGCTTCCCATGGGAAGCCCTAACCGGGGATGCCTGTGGGAGCCGGGGTCTGGAGGAATGGCTCTCATTGCTCTCCTTCTCCCTGCACGCACACCCATTGGAACCCTCCCTGACACTTAGGGATGTGGGAGTGTGATGGCTCGGAATGCTGCAGTCATCCCAGCTGAGTGTCCCCTGTCCCCCCAGCTCTGCCCTGATAGCAGAGGGGTAGGATCTCACCCTGGCTGCATCCCAGCCATCAGTTGCTTGCCCAAGACATCCCCGACGCAGTGAGGCAGCCATGGGGATGTTTCCTCCTCATGCCGGGCTGTGCAGGCAGACGGACAGCTCCGTCGGGGCACGCTGCTCCTTGGTGTGCCTGTCCCATTGTTTCAGAGCCCAGGAACAAGCCACACGCCGCCCCGTGCTGCCTGCACCGCGGCGCCAGCCAGGAGCCATCCTCTGCCCCACCTGAGCTTGCAGCAGCAGGAAGGAGATAGGGATGCTTTTGTGCTTCTCATTTCAACAGCAGCTCGTGTTTGGCCGTAGTCGTGTCTGGATGTGGTCACTGGGCAGCCCTCTGAGGAAGGAGGAATCCCCTTCGCTCCCTCCCACCTCCCTCCGTATTGTTGGAGCCTCAGGGATGATCCCGGATTCGTGTTCTGCTCCCTGAGGGTGGGACCGTGGGTTTCAGGGTGAGTGAAGCTGCACAGGGCCAGGGTAGCTCTGACCTGGGAGCGTGTGTTTATGGCAAGCTTTCGGCTGAATGGGAGCCCCAAAGTGTCATCCGTGTCTTCCCCGCCTCAGCTCCTCCATAGCCACACGGAAGGGGTTTCTCCCTGTAACGCCATTTACACGGGACAATTCCACCCGGAACCCGCTGCCCAAGGCTCAAACCAGGGAGGAAACCCCATGTTCCTGGTGGGATGGAGGCGGCTGTGATCTGTGCCGGGCTTTCCGGGTGCAGGCGAGAGGATGCTCTCCCCGACGGCTGCTTCCTGAGGAACTGGCTCGCTGGCCGCCGAGTCAGCAGCAGCGGGGTGCCGCAGCCTTCCTGCTGCTCCAGCAACCCAGCCGCGGCCAGGAAGAGCATCCGAGGCCCGGGGATGAGTCGTGAGGGACCCTGCTCTGGTCCTCAGCAAACTCCCCATCCTAGGGCTCTGGAGGAGGAAGGAAATGCCACAGAGCTGGGAAGGGGCTCAGCATCCGTCAGAGGGGTTTGCCTGGGGGTGGCAACGGGCCACAACAGAATCCCCTGCTCTGACACAGGGCATCTGGTCCCATCACCCTCCCCATGGAGCCTGTGTTGTGCCCCAGCTCAGGGCTATCTTGGCTGGACTCAGAACAAGCTGCTGTTATCTCTGCCCCAGCTTCCCGGTGATAAGGGTGGCATGTCTGGAGGTGAACCGGGCAGCCTGTCCCTGCCTCGAGCTGTGGCTGCTGTTTGTCACCAAGCAGCCACAGTGGATTCAGCCCGGTCCCTGACAGCAGCCCCTCTGGTGCCCAGGGGCCAGGCAGGAGCCTGGGAATGGGATGCATGGGCTGAGCAGAGCGCTGCTGCCAGCACAAAGGTGCATAGAGGTGGTCCAGGGCTGCAGGGATGGAGAGATGTGGTGGGATGCAGGTTGTCCTGGGCCATTCACGCCAACTTCAGGGCAGAAGGCTCTGGAGAGCAGAGCTCCTCTGTCCTGTCCAGCCCCGTGCTCCTTTCCTACCAGGGATCCTGTCCTCACTGCTGGGAGCATCCCCTGGGGTGTAAGAGCCGGTTTTGCTCCCAGCTGGTGGATTTGCTCCAGGATCAAAGCCAAAGGAGGAGACACAGGGCGTGGGGTGCTGATAGCGGCTTCCCCTCCCCACGTCCCATCCCACTGTGCTTGTCCAGCTGCAAGCACAGGCTCTGGCAGCTGCGACGGGGTGGAGGCAGCAGGGAAGATGCACTGGTACCCTGGTTCTTGTGCAGGGAAGGGTGCTAGGAGGGGCTGCGAAAGCAGAGAGACGTGGGCTCAGCATGGCAGGGGGCAGCCCCTTGGGATGGAGGAGGTCCCAAAGGACTGTGCTTCGGGAGGTGGCTCTTGGGAGCACAGAGCAGCCAAGCCAACAGTTTCAGCTGGTTTTAATACTGTCAGAGACACCCCAGAGCGGGGCCGCTGCTGTTATCCCACCCAGGCTCCCTCCGCGCTTGGCAAAGCCATCCCACTGCCGGCCCAGCTCCGTGGCCACTTCACATCCCAGCAGGAAAGGGAAGCATCACCAGGGAAGGACACCCTGATGCCAGTGCTGGGCCTCGCTCATCTCCTACTGCTAATCCCGAGGGCTCGAGCATTGCAAGAGGCTCCCCTCCACCCCATGGAAAGGGAAAGAAGTCAGGGTACACAAAGGGTCATGGCACAGCGCTCTGTGATGGTTTAACCACCACCCTGCCCATCCTTCCTCCGCACCTTTGTGGCTACAAACCACCTCTGCCCCACCACCAGATTGCGGCCTCCCCGCTCACCGCTCAGCTCTGGGGACAAGGGACCTCCAGGCACCCCTAACTGGAGACAGGGGCGATGCTGAGACTTGGCAGGTGCTGGAGCCGCATGGTCCCAGGAAGGGGAATGGGCAATGACTGCAAAAACACACCCAGCGGGCAGAGCCACGGGCAATAGGGACCTGATGCCTCTTGACAGGAGCCGTCTCATCACTCCCCTCACACTATGCAGCGCTGACACCGCAGGCAAGGAGACCCAGGGCATGGCACAACGGGCAGGGGACAACAGCCAAGTGGGTTTTTCAGAGCCCCTGTTTGCAGCCATGCAGGGAGCAGGAGGGATGCTGGAGCCTGCAAGCCCAGGGTGCTTGCCCTAAGCCCCCCAAAGCTGCTGAGCCCCAAGCCCCAGTGCAGGCAGGGGACTGCCGCTGGCTGCAGCCTCTCTGCTGGAAGCAGAAGCGAAAAGGAGGAGCAAATGTGTCTCCAGGCTTAACTGGGAGGATACAGTCAAGCCCTGGTTCCGTGATGGGGGTCCTCCAACAAAGTCCCAGTTGCAGAAGGTCCCTCAGTCCAGTCCCGGTCACACAAGGGGGCCTCCCATCTGGCTAGTGGGGTGAAAGAGCAGGAGCTGTCCCCACATCCCACCTTTAGAGCCCTGTAAAGTGCAGTGCTGTGGCCCCAGCGCCAACGAGGGCAGGGGAGCCCTCCTGGCCGCCTGCCGAGTTTGGGGACATGGAGAGAGGGGTGTGAGGTGGGAGCAGGTGCGGGCAGAGGTGGGCAGGGTGCAGGCTTGGGTGGTGGGCAGGTGCAGCCCTGTCCTTCCTCCCCACATGCCTACTCATCACAGCCCAGCAGCTCCACGCGCAGGGTGATGCGGTTGTGCCAGGCCACGGGCAGGATGCGGATGAAGCGGGCGTAGAAGGGCACATCAAACACGTTCTTCTTGTGCGAGTAGTTGTCACTGTTACCATGGAAGATCTATGGGGGGAAAGGTGGGTGTCAGCACCGCCAGGACCTCCTGCCACTACCCCATCCCATCCCATAGCAGCATCCCTGAAGCCCAGGTCGCTGCCCACCTTGCCCTGCCCCACACACCTTGGTGCTGTTTGTCTGTCCTTCCTTGTACAGGGTCCACGATGTGCCATTGTCACTGTAAGCCACCTTGTAGGCTGCCACATACTGGATGTGCCCAAAGTCACGGGCTCCTTGCGTGATGATGCCCGTCACCTTCTTCCGGTCCCGGAGGTCGATCTGGCGCAGAGACAAAGCTCGTCAAGGCTCCTCGCAGGAGCAGTGCTCCCACCCCAGAGCATCCTGCGTGTCCCAGGGGTACCTGGGATGTGCTGGCCCTCATTGCTTGACCCTCACCCTAATACCACAGTAACTAATAGAACACCATTGCAGCATCCCTCAAAGCAACCCAAAGCAGGACACAAACCGCTCCATCTCAGCTCCCTTCCCCACTGCTGCCACCCTGACATTTTTCATTGAAAAGGTCAATGTGGGAATGACAGTAAAAAAAATCTGAATTCAGAAAAAATAAAGGATTCCCAAAGGAAATGCATTTCCATTGGAAAGTGATTCTGGCTGAGAAAATATGCAGCTCAGCACGGTCTGATGGTTGGGTTGTGAGATGGTTTCTATTCTCTTTACTCTGCCACACTGCACTACAGCTGCTGGCACGCTACTCATAACCCAGCAAAAGAGCTGCAAGTCTCCTTCATTTAGTTCCTATTTTATGCTCATCGAGGGCAGTACCAGCTATAGATCACACATGTACATATACATATGAGAGCACACGTCTACATCTGTGTACATGTCCACAAAGTCAGCCTGTGGTGCAACAGCCCAACTCAGCGTGTCATCCCGACCCCACCAGCAGTCATTTGATAAACTGGTTTACTTAGGGCCACGAAGCAGCTGCTTTTAATCATTCCCCAAATAAAAAGCAGGACAAATATCTACACGGCGCTGTCCCATTATGTCATGAAATCATGTGAAAAGGATAAAAACAGGGGAGGAAAGGAAACTGAGAAGGAAATTTCAAAACTATTTGTTCCCATTCCAAGCTGGGAAGAGAAAAGCAAACCCGGTATTTTTCCTGCAAAACAGAAACACAACGTTCTGGGCAGCAGGAGCATCATGGCACGGTCACCCCAGGCTGGGATGGCACTCCCCAGTGGGGTGATGCAGCACTGGGGTGCTGCGGGCTCGGTGCACCCCATGGGAAGGTCTGCAGAGATGGCACCACCCTGGTTCCATAAGCACCGATGTGTCTGACCCATCGCTGTTAAAGTGGGTGCTGGTGGCCCCATCCTGACCTGTCCCTGCTATCTCAGCTGTGTGCCCCACAGCAGGGATCCAGCTGCTCTATCCCAGCATCTCCCACTGTGCCCATTCTGCTTCCAGCACCCGGGCACATCTGGGGGAGCTGGGGGAGAGAACTGAGGTTACAAAGGGAGGGCACCGAGACCCACCTGCAGCCACTCGGACTGATTGTTGCTGAGTGCTGTCCAGGCGTTGGTCTTGCCTGTCATGTCCAAGCGAGCGTAATGGGGGTGCCAGGTAAAGGCATCGATGCCCCAGGTCTTGAAGACGCTGGAGGCTGTGATCTGCTGGTCGGAGATGAGGCGGGATTTCATGCCCAGAGGCTCCGAGCAACCTGCCGTGTTGAAATACACTGTAACACAACAGTTTATAGACAGTGAAAAGGAAAGAGCCCGCAGCAAAACCTGTTAACCCTGGTGGGTGCCATCCCCACGTTCCCATGTTTCCCCCACGGCCAGGATCAGCAGAGCAATTGGCTCGCCTTTTCCTGGGATTGTAGTTCCCAGCTATTCCCTGGCTCACAGTGCCTCCTGCTGCAGGGATGTACAGATGTCCTCACAGCGCAGCCTGGCTCCGGGATACAGCTTTGGCAGGAGGCAGCAGGCTGCTTTTATGGGTGAAGAGAGCAATGCAAAGGCATCCCCAGCCAAAAGCAGAGCTGGCACTGAACCCGTGCAGCAGCAGGATGTGACCCAAGCCCCCATGGCACCCTGTGCTTGGCTGCTGGGGATGTGCCACAGGACGGGAATGCCAGAGGCACAGGGAAAGAGCTCAGGCTAATCATTCCTCACGTTTCCCAGAGGACTTTGATCCTCGGGTGCTTTTCAAGCTCTCCAGCAGGAAAAGCAGACAGTTCACAGCTCAGAATAGGAAGGGTGCCATAAAATCCCTGGGCTGGGAGGTGTTACCAGTGTGAGAATGCAGCTTAAGCTGGTGGGGTTAATGGCTTGTGCTCCCCAAAACACCCAGGGGTGTTTGCAAGCATCACATAGCAGGTATGGGAAAAACAAATCCTCTGTCCCAGGGGATCCAAACCAGTATCAGGGCAATGCCCTGCCCCGTGTCTCCCCCTGCCCTGCGGTCCCTGGGGACACCTGGGAGAGGCACTGGCATTTACCATTCATCTCGCAGCCGATGAGCTCGAAGCGCAGCGTGCAGGCGCGGCGGCACATCACCGGGTAGATGCGGATGAACTGGGCGGTGATGGGAGGGTTGAACATGTTGGTCTGCATGGTGCCATAGTCCGCGTTCCCCTGGAAGACCTGCAACGGCCAACAGTGTCCTGGCTCTGCCATAGCCTCTGCAGGAGACACCTTGCCCAGCAGACAGACCTTAGCATGGAGTGGGGAAGCAGGGCTCTGCTTTAGTGCCCTGGAGCAGCTCATGACCTTGCAGCAGCTCCATTCCCTGCTCTGCCCTTGCCCCACAAAGCCACACATACAGCAACATCCCCTCCCTGCAGCTACAGCGATACTCCTCAAATCACAACAAGCAGAGAGGTGGTTCCTTTCTTTCTTTTTAACACAATAAATAGAGTCAGGCTGTGTTTTCTTGCATTTTTTCCCACTGCTGCAGAAACAAGAGCAACTTTCCTGTTCTCTAAAGCAAGGCAGATTCTCCCAGCCATTCCCTGGAAAGGCAATATTCCTGCTTTGAGAGTGAGACACAGTCAGCTCATGCTTGGTGCAGACACAGCACTGAGACACATAATCCGCTCACCATGCCCAGTCCCCATGTCAGCGATAAAGATATTATCTGAATGACCTAAATAAGTCAGCACTGCTGCTTTGGCTATGCTTACTATGGTCAATTAAACAGAGCCAGACAGTGCTGCCCGGCACCGGAGCTGCCTGTGCGGTCTCGCTGCTAGGCCAGCTCCCAATGTGCCTTTGACCCAGGTCAAAAGCACCCTCCCAAACATGGGGCCAGTTCGGGATGCAGCTCGCAGCCACCCCAGCACCCGCAGCGCTGCCCTCACACAGAGCATCGCCGCCCACCTTGTCTGTGTCCTGCTTCTCGTCCTTGCAGAAGGTGAATTCCCTCCCATCCAAGCTGTAGGCGACTTTGTAGGCACGGACAAACTCCTGCTGGCCCACACGGCGAGCACCTTGTGTGATGATCCCACTGAGCCGCATCTTCCGCAGCAGGTTGGCCTGGGTAAGGAGGAGAGCGTGAGCAGGGAGCAGTGCGGATGGGGAGCACAGCCCCTGTGCCCAAAGCTCAGTATCAGGACCAGGAGAGGGGCTGCTCAGGGCACTGAGAGGAAGGGAAAATCTCAACCCCAGGGACCTTGTCTTCCCCAGGCACATCACAAGATGCCCCTTGTGCAGCAATTTAGCCCCACACCTGCCACCAGGACCAGATAAACCCCCTAAGAGCAGCCCAGCAAGACCACCCATGGGTACCAGGGCTGCCGCGCTGTGCCGGTGCTCCCAGTCCTGTTGCAGGTACCTGGATCCAGGGGCTCTTGTCATAGTCGCTGGAGGTCCAGGCATTGACAATGCCGTGGTTGTTGAGGCGGGCGAGCTCTGGCCCCCAGCGCTGGAGGCCAAGGAAGCCGTAGTAGACAGAGGATGCTGAGAGCTGAGCATCCGAGATGGCTCCTCCTTCCATGCCCAGGAGAACAGCACAGCCTGAGGGCAGGAGGGACATCAGCACCAAAGAGAGACAGTGACCAGTAAGCAAAACCAGGGAGCCGTTTGCCTCTTGTCTGGGGACAGGGCAGGAGGTGGGGACCTGCCCTAGGACCTGGCTGTCCACAAGGTGTACTTCCCCCTCCTCATCCACAAAACCAAACCCTCTTATAGCACAGAGATTTGGGGAGCAGGGGAAAGGGCTGCTCTGGGTACCCCCAAAGAGAAGACAGCATCTTCCCAGGGATGCTCCCTCCAACAGGTCCCTGATGGCATCAAGGGCCGCCAGCACATAGGCACCCATGGCTGCTCTTCAAATCCCCTAAACCAGCTGGTGAGACCTCCCCTGGCAATGAGGGACGGAGCAGTGGGGGACAGGGAGGGAAAGGGAATTCTGTACAGTTGGTGCCAGGGACTTACGGACGTGGCAGCTCCTCCCCAGGAACGGGGACGGACACTTGCAGGCGTAGTCCCCATCCAGGTCCAGGCAGGTGCCTCCGTTTTTGCAAGGCTGGGAGGAGCACTCGTTCTTGTCTAGGACAGAGTTGGGGAGCTCAGGAGGAGACCCAGGAGCCAGTTCTGGGGAGGGCACCCCTCATTCAGTGCAGCAGGAAAAGGGGGAGACGTCCCCTGAGCCGGGGCCATGGCAGGGTCCCTGCTGATACGGTGGCACAGGTTGAAGCTCTGACCTATAGAGCTGCCTAAGCCGTGTCCCCACTGACTGCAGCCACATGTGTGCATAAGGACACACAGCCATGGCAAGGCTGGGACCCCATATGGGTCAGGCTGACCCTCCAGGCACCCCTATTCCCATTACTCAAGGCACCAGAGATGCAGAGCACACCTGCATTCCCACACCATGGTCCTTCCCTCCACCCTGCAAGGTCCAAACCAGCCCTTGGTCCCTGATAGAGCCTAGTGCCAAACACAGACACAGCTGAAACACCCCCCGGTTGTCCCCCCAATGCTGCCCAGAGGGTCCCCAAGCCCTTAAGCCCCCTTTTCCCCCTGTACTCACTGTTCTGGCAGTGCACCCCATCGTACCCCGCAGGGCATTTGCAGATGTAGTCAGTGAAGACATCCCCACGGTTCGGGACGAGCTGGCACTCGCCATTGTTGTGGCAAGGATTGGGATGGCAGGGGCCTGGGGAAAGGGAAAACAGCAGTAATACGGGCATGGATGGAATAGAAAAGCACCAGTGGGCTGTCACTCCCTGAAGACACTGCATTCCCCCCAAGGAATGGAGGTCACCGCATCACTGCTTAGATCTCCACTCTATGTGCCCATCAGCAGGGCTGGACCCCAAGGCCATGAGGGCACACTACCATGCTGCAAGGCTCCTGGCCTTCACAGAGCACCCGTGAGGGGTCAGCCCCTCACCTTTCTCTGTCTCATTGCAGTCAATCCCAACGTAGCCCTCAGGGCAGATGCAGAAGAAAGGGGTCTCATTAATCCCAGTCAGGCAGGTGCCCCCATTCTGACAGTGGTTCACGTCGCAGAAGTCTCCTGGAAGCAAAGCCACACGTCACTGGAAGCCATCCCAAAGGCCGGTGTCCACCAGAGCCCTGCGGATGCACATGGAGGCATCCCAGCTCAACGGCAGGAGCTACTCCAGCTGTGGATGCTGCAGGGAGGGGAGCACGCAGAGAGGCTGCTGGGTCCTCTGGCATTCACAAGTGATGAGAAGGAGCATGACGGAGTGGCCAGGACCTGTCCTGCCCTGGCACACAATAAAGTGGGTTTAACAGAGCCTGCACATCAAACCCAAGCCAGGGGAAACCCGCGGTTTTGGTGCATCCAATGTATCTGATGCTTATCTGGGAAGCAGGGGTAGCCAGGCCGGGGCTCGCTCGGGCATGAACAGCACAGCATTATCCAAGGGAGCTGGTCCCATTGCTGAGTTTTGCTAATGAAAGTCAGAACTCCTGAGACCAAACCAGAAACCATTGTAGGGGGAGCCCGCACGCCTTGTTTCACACACGCTGGAGGCACGCAAGGAGGGAGCGCAGTGTCCATCCCTGCACAAAGCCTGCCAGGCCTCCATCACTGCCCCAGCAGCTCCCATGAGGCAGCTACAGCCCACAGCCACATCCCTACATGGGCTGCACCGTCCTCCCTGCCTGTTCATCCACCTCCAGCACCTCCCACGGTACTGGGTTCATGTGGAGAGGGGCTGCAGGGGGCTGCAAAGGGGGCTGCTGAGAGACACCAGGAGCTGCTCCTGCACTGGAGACAGCCAGTGCCTGCCTCCTGCAGACAGCCCGGGCAAAGGAGAAGGAGGAAGAGATGTTCCAGGTGCCAGAGCAGGGCATGGAGAAGCCCATGGTGATGCAGGCTGTCTCCCTGCAGCCTGTATCCACCCTGCGGCCCATGGAGGACTCCACACCAGAGCATCCTGCTCCTGATGGGCTGTGCCCCATGGGAAGGACCCACGCTGGAGCTTTTTCATCTGCTTTTCTCCCTCTGTCCTGCTGAGGAAGGGGAGTGAAGGAGCAGCTCCCGGCAACCAGCCGATGATAACGCACCACAACCTTCTGCTCCCCACTGAAGCGCTAAATCACACTGCAAGAACCCCAGTGAAATTCCTCCCACCCTCAATTTATTCTGCCCCGAGAGCTGCAAGACAGTGCCATTATCCATAAACCTAGACCAGATTCCCACCCTGAACGCCTCGGTACCTCCTCACCAAGTGCCAGGACAGCACATACCTTGGTGCCAGGCTCTCCTCTGCCATGCTGCAGGAATCAGAGTAAGGGCTGGGTGGAGACCCAGGAATAACCCCCTACTACGGGCAAGCCCTGGGGAAGGTGGAAGTTAATGAGCTGTGGGCTCGCTGCCTGGACCCACACCAAACAGCACAGCTCTCATTAGCCTAAGCTACTACTCAGTGAGCTCCCACTCATTAGTCTTTTAATAGCAGGGCTCGTGAGTTAATCCTACTCTTCCTGACGCTCCACATCTGCAGGGTACACACTGGTGGCAGACAGGCCAGTGTTCCATGAAGGCTTCTGAAGAGATGGTGTAGCTCCCTTAGCCCAGCCTCAGGAGGCAGAAAAGCTTGGGCAGTGGTTCAAGTCCCTGCCTGCACTGCCCAGCCTGTTCTGCATGACCTCATGCTCCATCAATGCACTGCCATGAGCTACAGCATGGGAGGAGAGAGAGCTCCTGCGGATACGTGGGGATGCCTTCGCCCCACGCCCCTCCGCAGGTCTCCAGCCCCATCCCAAGGATCACTCCCGGCAGCTGGCCAAGGCCAAGTGGACAGAGCTGCTTCTGTTCAGCAGCAGGACCTGGCTGCTCCCGCAGGCACGGAGCGCCAGTGAACATGAGCTCCCCAGCATCTGCACTGCCTCCAACACAGCATACTGTAGGGTGGGATACAGCAGCGAAGGAGCAAGGGTTCCTCCCATGCTCAGGACAGGAGGGTCCCAGATTTATACTACACAAGTAACTACACTCCCTTTCCTCCCCTCCCAGGAATTATCCCTTACTTAGTGGTCTCACTAGCCAGGCCCCTGCCTAGCAGCAAGGCACACGGGTCACATTTTCCACTGTGGCAAGTAGTTTTGGATGCTCCTATTTCTCATCTGTTGCAGTTCAGCATCTCCATTCTCCACACAGACACTTGTCTGCAGGCAGGGACGGAGCTGTCACAGCCTGGACAGTCAGGAACCAAGGCAACAAAGATCAGCCACTGCGTTTGGAAATGTTTGCATGTTTGAACCCACAGGCTGGCTGGAAGGCAAAAATAACATCCTTCGAAAACTGGGACAGCTCATCCCAGCAGGCAGGGGGAGGTCAGGTCAAGCCTGTCTCGTGAGGGCCCAATGGGCATCTCTTGCCCAGAAGGAGCGAGCACAAACAGGGCCTTCCTCATAGCACACCTTCTGCTGCCCCTTTGTCCCCCGTCCCGGAGCCCACGCTTGGCCTTTGCTACCCTTTTGCCTTCTCACCCATTGCTTTTGGAGTCAATCACCCCAGGCGTGACCCACAGGGTGATGATGGAGCTGCTTCTCGTGGGGTTCCCCTGGCAGGGCCGCTGTGCCAGGCGGTCCCAGGGAAGCTGTTTACATTCTGGGCACGGTTATCTAACCCTGAGAGCACGGGACAGCCCCGCTGAGCTATTCCGAGCTCAGGAGTAAGGACAAGGGGCTGGGGACCTGAGCTCCTCCGCTCCTGCAGCAGGAGCCCTGAGGGCTGCGCACCCTCCCATTCATCACCCCTGCACACAACAGCCCAGACCCTCTTGCCCTGCACTCCAGATCCTCTGGCTCTGCACCCCAAATCCCCTGCACCCCGGATTCCCTGCACACCAAACAACCCCGCGCCCTGGACAGATGAACTCTAGATCTGTTGCACTCCGGATCCCCAGCACCCCAGGCTCCCTGGCACCCCGGATCCCCTGCACCCCGAGCTCTTTGGCACCCTGAATCCCCTGCACTATGAATCTCCCGCATCCCACGCTCCCTGGCACCCCAGATCCCCAGCACTCCAGACTCCCTGGCACCCCAGATGCCCTGCACTACGGATCCCCAGCACCCCAGGCTCTTTGTCACCCTGGATCCTCTACGCTCCCGATCCCCTGCACTCCGGACCCCCTGCACTCCGGAATCTTTGGCACTCCAGTTCCCCTGCACCCCAGGCTCTTTAGCACCCCGGCTCCCCTGCACCCCGGGCACCTGATCCCCGCATCCCTGACCCTCGGCACCGCTGATCCCCAGCACCCGGCTCCCTGGGCACTCACCGGTCACGACCAGCAGCAGCGAGAGCCCCAGCACCAGGAGGAACAGCACCCGCAACGGCTTCGGTGCCCGCAACGGCTTCGGTGCCAGCAGCAGCCCCGGTGCCCGCAGCAGCCTCACCGCCCCCATGCTGCTCCCGAGCCGCCCCGATGCGATCGCAGCCGCTCCGCTCCCCTCTGCTCCCCTCCGCCGCGGGGCTCGGGGCGGGAGTGACTCAGCCCGGCCCGGCGCGGCCCCACGTGCTCCGCCGCCCGCCCCCGGGGCGGGACCGGGCAGCGGGAGGGGCTGCGGGATGGGATGGGGGGGTGATGCCCCAGGCACCGCGGGGAGCGAACCTGGCCCCGTAGCCAAAGGAGCCAGCAGGCACCATGGGGATGCTGCGGGTGCGGGGTCCAGCAGAGAGACCCGCACCGGACCCTGGTCCTCGGGTGGCGGTGCCCCTGGCTCCCGGCCCTGGCTGGCAGGCAGAGGGTGCAGAGCTGGATGGGGAGCAGCGGGGGCTGCCAGCACTTGGCAGGAGGTAGAGGTGTTTTGCAGCACAAACCCCCCACATTTCTCTCCATGGGTGGGATGAACCTGGAGAGGCTTTCACCTCTGCCAGGCTAGGGCACGCACCAGCACAGCATGCCAGAGGAATGGGGTTCTCCTGAGCTTCTCCTAACCAGCATCAAGGAAAACAGCCAGGCCAAGCGTGCATGGGAAAGGGACTGGGGGGACAACAGCTCTGCACAGAGCACAACGCCATAGCTCTGTTGGGTCAGCCACAAACGAGCTCATCTTTGAGCTGTGCCCACCTACCAAGGGCTGGAGAAGCCCAGCCGTGCCCTCGAGATGGTGTCATATGTGGAGCTCTGACCTGTGAGGCAGAAACCATTGGGCTAAAGCATATTCATGTTAAATCCATATTCAGCAGCAAAGACTTTGGAAAAGAGAACTGCACAATACAGGAATGCTGGATCATTTGACCCCACGTTGGAATTCCACTCCAAGCCCTCCTCCTAAGTATGAAGCTGATTTATCTCTTCTTGCAAAACCCTCCATTTCAGCATTAACCAACCCAAATGAGACGCTTCAGCTGCTCATATTTACATGTTGACTCTGTCCGAGGATTGCTCCATTTCTGGCTTTGGCAATGCAGCCACCGCAGCCCGCAGTGAGCTGGGCAGCCCTGCTGAGCACCCTGCACTTTGACCAGTGTTTCCACCACCCCCCCTCCCCAACATCCAGTTAATGCTTTTCTTGGACACAATCAACCAGTGCCCATAGGAGCACCCAGACAGGTTATGGCACCCCAGGGACAGACCCACTGCCAGATCCAGCTGCCCCAATATGCCAGGAATTTGGCTGTTGTAACACAGGACCTGTGAGGAACACAGGGATCTGGACATGTACTCCCATCCAGCCCCATCCTCACTAGTGCTGTTTCCTTCCATTACCCATGCAAAGGAAACTCCAGGCAGACTTGAACTCCAGCGGAAGGAGAAACAGCAGCTAGAAAGGAGGAAGCGGACTATACACAGCACTTGCTTTCGAATAACCCTGCAACCTCAGGGTAATTACTGCTGTGGTGCTCCGAGGAAAACAAGGTCAGGAGAAGGAAAGCACAAGGCAAGATTCCCAGGGCTGTGCACAAACAACTAGGACAAGGGTGTTTGTTCTGCCTCTTGAGGGGCTACAGCCCGGATTGGTCTCGGAGAGGATGCAGGACCCAGAGGGAGCTGCAGAAACATCTTGAGCCTCTCTAAAAACAGAAAGCAAAATGTTTTCCTTCTGTCCCCAGGGGCATGAATGCCGATGTCCCGAGGAACGTGCATGGGAAAGAATACTAAACAGCGAGTGGTGGAGGCCAGGCGGAGCTATGCTTCCATAGGGATGGTGCTTCCTGGAGGCTCTTTGAGTGGACACCTGTGATGGATTCCAGTGAGAAACCGGGTTTGGGAAGAGCTTGTGCTGTGCCAGCTGGAAAAGGGAAGCTCTGTGAGTGAGAGAAAAGAGAGGAGCAACCTGTCAAGGACAGGGAAGCAGCAAGGAATGGAAACACCACTCCCTGGGCTCATATAGAGCCAAGTTTTCGCAAGGGATGGCTCTACTTGAAAGAGTTGGGTAGGTCGAAGGTCAGGCATAATTTCACTCCCTTCTGCAGGGACTACTTAGGCCTTGTTATAGCAGGATTTAGCACTGGGTTTGGTTTCTTCTGCATGGAGACCTGCCAGGCTTTGCTGTGCCGTAACCCTTTCTGAGCCATGCAGATAGCCGATAGCCTGGTTCCCATAGCTCAGGTGATAAAGAGGAAAATGGGTGATGGTGCTGCACGTTCCTCTGATGCAATCCTCCTTATTTCCAGGCCTATACAAAGGTGTTTTCACATGAACAAGGGAGGTGAACAATATGCAGCCTGCCCCTTGCTCAAGCTTAAAGCCCCCAACTGCCATAAAACCTGCTAGGCTGCGTCTCATGGCTGATGAGTTTGCAGTGATGGCTTGGGTATCACCACAGTTTCGTGTTCCTTCTCTCCACTCCCTCTCAGACACTCATCTGTGACCCATGGGACCTCTTCCCCCCACTATCACATAGCAGTGATAACCCCCACCCCCAGCAAAGTCCCACTCAGCCCTTGCATTGATCATTTTGGGTGGCAGCCCCTCTGTCTGCTCTATAAGGGAGTTCACTGGCTTATGTTTATATCAGAATAAAGGCAGCCGTTACACCCCAGAGGGATTCTCCACCCAAAACCCTCCCAAATCCTCCCTACAAATGGTTTTCCTCCCTCACCCCAGCATCAAGGGCCCGAAAAAACCCTCCTGGCAGAGGCATCCAGCCCCTTTCCCTGCAGGCACAGCTCTTTCCTACAGCCCAGAGATGTGGTTCAGGCCACAGCACAGGTCCTGGGAAGGTTTCCTGCTCTGTGGGATCAAGCCTCCCATCCTGCCCCATGTGTCAGTGACTCTGAGTGGGAAGGAGAAGCGATCTGTAGCACTGTCACAGAGGATTAATGCCCAGCCTGCTCCTGATCCCTCTAACAGGATAACCGAGTGCTCAGCGCCAGCATCTCTAACCTCCTGCAGCGTCACTGCTGGCAGTGCCAGCGTGTGGTTTCCAAGAGCCTCTGGCCAGGACACTCCTTGCATGTAGCTGGTCTCCTCTGTTTGTTTTATAGAGGGAAAAAAGCTTTCCACAGGCTCTGCCTTTTCCACCAAAAGGGCAACAGTTTCTTTAAACTCAAGCTCTACTTTTAGGGACACTAATAGTTAGATACCAGGAACTTCAGGACTATCTGAAGAAAGCTAGATACTGAATACCCTCAGGGCACGGAAGCCCGGTACAGCTATCAAGTGCCCTTTCAGGGTACATAAAACACTGCGATTTAAAAGGAAGAAGGCAAAGGGCAGCACTGTCCCACAGTTCTGCTCCATTCCCACTGCAGATCGTGTCGGAGCTCAGATGAGATCCCAGCCAGTTTAACTTCAAGCCATTTGCTCTAACCTCAATAAACAAGATTATATCCAGCTTAGAGCTGGTGTGTCTGTGTAAGGTGCTTAATATAAGCACCTTTATATAACTCCTTTCTGTGAACTGGAGTGCTTTGCAGTCCTGAAGGATTTATCCATGCTTATCTCCAACTGAAAAGGTGTTGCCATCATCTCCACTTGGCAGATGGGAAACAAATGGGCTCCATGGAAGGACACATCTCCCTTTATTTTGTCCATCTACAAGGTAGGCGTGCACGCCTGGCCTCTTACAGACACCTCCCCACAGCCAGTGGTACCAGCAACAATCCCAAAGGCTATTTGTATGTGCTTCAGGAGGAATCCCCCTGGGAAATAGGTGTCCCCCTGCTGAGAGTGGATCAGCACCAAGCACTGCACAGGACTAAACCCCTGTGTGGTGGTGATAGTTCCTATGGTGCCCATCTCAATGGACATCCCAGGCTCGCCTTGTCCCTCTCTGGGCTGTTGGCTGCAAGCACCCATTTGGTAAGAGGAGCTGACGCTGTGAGGTACACTGTGATGCACAACTGAAACTGCTTATGGATTAGCAGCATCGAGCAGCATGACCCTGCTGAGCATCAAGGAGATGCCGTAGGCAGATAAGCCCTGGCTCTTTTGTTCTTTTTCAGGAAACCTTTGGCAAGCTCCTGCCTTGACACAAAGCACTAAATTGTGTGCTTGATAGCTTTATGGAGGCTCCTTTGATAACACCAGTTTCTGTGGCAAGGGATGGATCCTTGTCCTGTTATCACACACACAAGACCCCTCCTTATTCAAAGCCATCAATTTGGTGCGTGTTTTTCTGGCATACACTTGATGGAAGGTCCTCCAGGACTCACAGGGCTCAAGGCAGGTTTGCTTCCTGATTAAACACCAGGAGCCTGATGGTGCTAATGCTATATGAATATGCAGTAACACTAATAGAGAGCAGTGCCACGGGGTTTGCAAGGAGCCCAGAACCTGTCTTACCGGCTGGTGAAGAAGAGGCAGTTTGCTCATGCAATGCTCCCATCCCACCCATCCATGCCAGGAAGAGGCTCTGCCCAGGCGGGGGCCTTATTAGTTTGTGAAGTTGCCTTTTGATCTCTGTATCTTGCAGCATAATGAGAAGGTTTGAGCTCTGCCTGGCCTGCCCTCTGTGTGCCTCCCAGTTGCTCCGATCACCCTGAGTCAGGCAGGCCAGGGGAGATCTACCACAGCTCCAGGGTTAATTCCTTCCTGAAGAGAGGTGCATTTGGGGCCTTTAATGCATGCTTTGGTAGCCACATCTATGGCTGGTGGCAGGAAAGCACAGTTCCTTCGTACCTCCCTCTGTCCCACACAGGCACACAACCAGTGGGGGCATCCAGGGTGATCACACCTCAAAGGCAGCTCCTTATTCCCTTAGTTCCTGCAGCCCAAAGCAGCTCTCGGAGGCCACCTGCAGTTGTACCCCTGCATGGGATGGCTGGTGGCCACTGATGCAGGATGTTGGTGCCTATGAGACCTCTGCTATGGGAGGGAGCTGCCTTCAGCAGGAGCTCCTGTGCTAGCAAAGAGCCATACACCCCACTCACCCCATCAGAGCCCCTCCCTTGTGATTCAACCTCTCTCCCATCCCGGCCGGATCCTACACTGCTGGCACACCGGTTGAGGCTCCTTCTCTACCACTTCCTG